TTGATCTGCATGACATGTCTTTAATCCACCAAGAATTTCTTTAAGTCGACTAATATTATCTCTGTGTAGTAATACGCTGCTCATTGTTTGAAATACAGGGAATAATCTCAATTTTGTCCATTACCCACCTCGCTTTATGAGAGCTAACTTTGCTTTTTCAGCTAATTACATTTAAATCTGTTATTAAATCAGGAGCAATGTTGTTTTTAGTTAACACTTGTCCTGAAATATTGTTGTAGCTTGATACATTTGAGATTTTGTGTTAATTGAGCTTCATTACACCAGAGTAAACCAGACAAATGAGACTGAAATCCCCGAGGAGCTAATGCTAATGCTAATGCTAATGCTAACAGCTAAGAGGCAGTGGGCCCAGGTGCAGTTGTTTACACAGACAAGTGGAACGTGTGGTACCATTAAGAGTCTAATTTTTCTGAGAATTACTCACTATAATTAAGGATTTAAGTGTTATCATGAGTAAGATCATACAAATGCATCTAGAGGTGGATTAATAATAGGTTTAGTTCTGGCTTTGGTCATAGTTTAGGCCTAGTTTTGTTCTAGTTTTGGTTACGTTTTGTTCACGTTTTTTGCCTTGGTTTTGTCCTGATTTTGCCCTGGTTTAGTCCTTGTTTAGTCCTGGTTTAGTCTTGGTTTAGTCTTGGTTTTGCCCTGGTTTTGTCTTGGTTTTAGGCCTGGTTTGGCCTAGTTTAGGCTTGGTTTAGGCCTGGTTTAGTCCTGGTTTCGGCCTTTTTTAGTCCTGGTTTAGTCTTGGTTTAGTTCAGGTTTAGTCCAGGTTTAGTTTAATCTTGGTTTAGTGCAGGTTTAGGACTGGTTTTACCCTGGTTTAGGCCTGGTTTTTGCCTGGTTTTGCCCTGGTTTTGCCCTGGTTCAGTCCTGATTTAGGCCTGGTTTATTCCTGGTTTAGTCCTGGTTTAATGTAGGTTTAGTCCTTTTTTTTTCGTCCTGGTTTTGTCCTTATTTTGTTTTGATGTAGCCCTGGTTGTGTTGGTTTAGTCCTGGTTTAGTCTCGGATCAGTCCTGATTTAGTTCTTATTTTGTTTTGGCGTATCCCTGGTTTTGTTGGTTTAGTCCTGGTTTTGTTGGTTTAGCCTGGTTAGGTCCTAATAGGTCCTGATTTAGTCTTTGTTTAGTCCTTGTTTATGAACCAATGATTGTGTCTGCGTCATGTTCAGTTATTACAAACATTTTACAGTCACATTCTGGTCGATGATTAAACCAGTGAACTGCTGACAAACTCTGTTTAGATCATTAAAATATGTCGAGCCGACTTCAGCAGTCCAGCTAAAAGACCATCATACACATTTAAACCATGAAAGTGCTGCGTTATGTATATACTACTGCAAGGACCACTATTTCTATTTCTACTTCTACTACTACTAGTACTACTACTATCAAAACAACTACTACTACTAGCCCACTATTCCTACTGCTACTACTACTTTAAGCAATATGTTCACATTGAGGATCTTAGGGTGTCATCATGTACTACTACTTACTACTACTACTACTACTACTACTAACTACTACTGACTACCACTACTACTACTACTACTACTACTACTACTACTACTACTACTACTACTACTACTACTACTACTACTACTACTACTACTACTACTACTACTACTACTACTACTACTACTACTACTACTACCTACTACTACTACACTACTACTACTACTACTACTACTACTACTACTACTACTACTACTACTACTACTACTACTACTACTACTACTACTACTACTACTACTACTACTACTACTACTACTACCTACTACTACTACTACACTACTACTACTACTACTACTACTACTACTAGTACTACTACTACTACTACTACTACTACTACCACTACTACTACTACTACTACTACTACTACTACTACTACTACTACTACTACACTACTACTACTACTACTACACTACTACTACTACTACTACTACTACTACTACTACTACTACTACTACTACTACTACACTACTACTACTACTACTACTACTACTACTACTACTACCTACTACTACTACTACTACTACTACTACTACTACTACTACTACTACTACTACTACTACTACTACTACTACTACTACTACTACTACTACTACTACTACTACTACTACTACTACTACTACTACTACTACTACTACTACTACTACTACTACTACTACTACTCCACCTCCTCCTCCTCTTTCCACTACTACTATTAGTACTACTACTACCACTACCACTACTACCACTACTACTACGCACTTCCTCCTCCTCTTCCTCCTCCTCCTCCTATTATTACTACTACTACTCCTGCTCCTCCTCCTACTACTACTTCTACTACTATTACTACTACTAATTTTTTTTATAATATTGCACATTTTTAATAGTTTCTGGGTGTTTGGTGTTATTGTGTCATAATTACATTTTAAACAGAAGTAGCTAGTACTCCGTTGCATTTACTTTAGTAACTTTTCTAGCAGCATACTTACAATCCTACTTGAGTAATATTTTTATTGAAGTAACAGTACTCTTACTTGAGAAAAGGCTGTGGTTCCTCTTGCCACTGTGAGTAAGTCTACAGCGACAAAAGCTTCATGTGACAATATGAAATGATTTGAACATTTGTGTTTCTTGCACCGTCCGTCCATTGAAAATACCAGATTTTTTTATATTGATATTATATGACAGTTACTCTTTAAGTTACTTTTACTTGTAGTTTTCCCAAATACTTTTTATTCTCCTACTTGAGCCACTTCTTTGTGCTTCTCCTTCTACTTTACTCTTATTTAAGTAAAATTTTTTGGCTACTCTACCCACTTCTGAGTTCATTATTATCTTTTATCGTCTAATATCGCTCTTCAAAACGTATCAGGCCTACTTCCACGACTCTTCTCTCTTTAAAATCCCAGTTCCTGCCCTCTCCTCTCCATTTCTCTCTGCGTACATTAGTCCTTGTGCGCTGGTCCAACCCGGAGGAGGTGATGTCTTCTCTCCTCCTCTGTGACAGTAGCATCAGAGCAGCAGGGTGTGGAGGAGAGGAGACAGCAGCTCTGAAGAGGCCTGGAAACAACAAAAAACATGGAGGAGGAATAGAGAGAGTAGGCGCTCCCTGCTGTTTCTCCCACGCACAGTTTGAGTACTATCAAGTCTCTAGACACGTGCATGTTCTGGTAATGAATCAGAGATCGACCAATATATGTTTTCGACCGTTATGGGTTTTTACTTGGCCGATGACGATACTGATTGTTTAGAATCTATAGAAACTGATGGCTGATAAGCTCTGTGAATGTTTTTGGACTGATATGTTGGGCTGATTTTGTTTATTTTCTCCAAATTATGTCATTTAAATTTGGTACAAACTCACCAACCTTTAAGAAAGCTGTGTAGTATCACTTTGAACAGTTATATCTTCATATTACAGGGTTAAAAAAAATCTTTGTGTGTATTTTTTAGGTTGTAGATCGACCCACAGCTGAAAAAAGTCAAAAAATCAGCTTGATATATATCAGTCTGTCTCTATTGTTTTCTTGCCTGATGCCAGTGCCAATAGTTTAGTCATTTAAATCCATTACAAACTCACCCAGAGCCTTTTTAACCAAAGAGAGTCGTCTGATCATGTTTAGTTTATCTAGGGTTTACTCTTTACTCTTTGTAGTAAAATGTTGACTTCAATTTAAGCTTTAGGCAGCAGGTCGATCAGAACAAAATCTGGTCCTGGACATTACAGGCTGGTAACTGATACTCCCTCTGTTATCTGTTCATTTTACTATTAATAGTTTAGGTGTTTGGATTAAGAATGGCAACAAAAACACATGTTCTGTCTCATTCTGTATGACGTAATCGTATAATCAGTGGTGTTGCAGTTAGGGCTGGGTATCATTAAGATGTTGCAGATGCATTACATACCTCGATACTGTGAGATTACAATTCAGTATGAATCAATACGATATATTTCAAATCTATTTGATACAGTTCAATAAAAAATAAAGGCTAAATCATGTCTGTGATACTAAAAGTCTTTGTTAAACCACTTATTGTGCAAAGTTAATATGAAACACAAACATTTTAATAATCAAAACAGTGAAAATGTCAAATGTGTCGCATAAATGAGTTTCCACTGAACAAAACTGTAACAAAATAATTTACTCAAATATACCAAAAAATACTCTTGGTGAAATATCAATACAGCAGCCCACAATATCAATACTGTATCATCACATTAAACAATACGATATATCGATATTTTTATATTTTTGCACAGATCAGACCCCACCCCTCCTTCTCTTAAGGTCTTATATTACATACAGTTTGCTAGAATTAAAAGTTAGAATGTTGTTACCTCAACAAAAATATACCTGGAGTTGTGTTTTGTTTCATTCACACATGTTCGAGTAACCCTTTATTTATTAGTCCAGATCTAGATCTAGATCTCCAACGCTCAAAATGCTCTGTTCCACCTTATGATGTCATTTAGGGTTAGTTTTAAGATTAACAGCTAACTTTTACCTTTTGTTCAGTAGAGATTGGCAATTCCAAGGTTGAAATCATCCAAATGATTCTAGTGAAAGTGTATATAGTGTAAAAACACAGTGGAACATTTCTCGTATTATTGGAACTTGGTCTAAATATCCCGGAGTTGTGTGTTAAATATGGGCAAACAAAAAAAACACAACTATGGGTATGTTAATGATAAGGAAATTACATTATGAATAGCTTAATATGGTCCTTTTAACCTTGTAAACTTAAAATAACTTTAAAATATACAACATAAAGATTTGAATATTGTTCTTCACTTTGAAACCATAACTTCACAAGTCTGTTCCTATGATGTTATTAAGTTATTGCTGTTTGCAGAAGTAATAAAGCATAAATAAAAAGTCACTACTATCTTTCTAAGTCTATCTGTCTATAAAATATAAGGTTAATCTTTTCTTGCTTGGAGATTGCTGCTTAAATGGACTGTGTGTGTGTGTGTGTTTGCTGTCCAGATCCTGTTCTGCACGCTCAACACTCACAAGATCGACATGGACAAACTGCTGGGCGGACAGATCGGCCTGGAGGACTTCATCTTCGCTCACGTCCGAGGCATCAAGAAGGAGGTGGAGGTGCACAAGACTGAAGACGCTCTGGGTCTGACCATCACGGACAACGGAGCCGGATACGCTTTCATCAAGGTTAACATTTTTCTTTGTATTTTTGTTTTCTTTGTAAAGAAGTGACAAGATAAAATACAAAACTATACATAGGCCTGTCACGATAATACATTTTGAAGTGCGATATCCTCTATTGTTGAAGTAAATACGAACAGATAAACGATAATATTTAACCAAATTTACACAAAAGCTACAAAAACTATTCAGAATCTACAATATTTTTAATCAAACATGAGCTGCCATCGATAATTTGCAGAAAGAAACACTTACTTACACTTATTTAGTTTGCATCTGTAATGAGTCATAGAAGTTTTTAATTCAACTTTTTACTGCTTAAATCTCATTATACAGACAAAAAATAACCACAGATTTCCCAATATTGCAAAGAAAATGAAAAGAAAAGCACAAAAAATATTGGCCACAAAAACTATTGCTCCATGTGTCATATTGAAGTCTAGTAGGTGTAGTATTTTTTGTTTTGGTCAAGATTTAGTCAACTAATACTTCAATTGTCGTTAAATTCTTAGTCATGTAATGAATTCTTTTTAGTTATAATCTAGTTTTGGTCAAACTAAATGTCATACGAATTACTAGTTGACTAAATCCATGGTATTTAAACGATCAACATTTCTGGTTTTGGGCTCAGAGATTGTTCTTTTTATTTTTTTTGTTCAGTTTTTTATATTAAAAGAAAGCATCAGTAGTTCTATTTTTTGTTTAATCCCGTAGTTGTCCAGGTAGGATCCATAACAAAGGAGAAATTCAATTCTGTCAACTGGACAATTCGATCAAAAGCTTTTGTGCAGTTGACAGAATTTAATTTCTATTTTGCTATAAGTAGTTTTAGTCAATAAAAATTTGTATCAATCATAGTTTCACTTTATTAGTTCTTATTTCGTTTTCAGCAAAACTCCAAAGACAACAGAATCCCTGATCTATTCAAAGTCCTGTCCCAGGCTCATTCTAGGGAAATGAGGAAATAATTAGTCATGTCGCTCAGCCCTACTACAACAAACATTTAAGGGAAGGACAAAGTATCACATGTCACATCCTTCTGGGACAATTGTGGGAAATTGACAATTAACCAAATACTATTTCTGATGACAAAGCCTCTGTTTTTATTCTGTTTCCACTATATGAAGTGTTACTGTTGTATTTCCAGAGGTGAGAACTTCTCAGTTACATTTACATGAGAAATTTTACTTTTCAGAGTACTTTTATAGCAGCAGACTTTTACTAATACTTGAATCATATTTTTAATGAAGTAACAGTAAAAGTTTTAGTTCCTCTTCCCACTATAAGTACGTCTACAAGTGACAAAACTTTATGTGAAAATATGAAATGATTTGAACATTTGTGTTTCTTGCAGCGCTCCTTCAAATATATTGTTTTTGCATTTATTCTTAGAAAATACCAGAATCTGTGTGTTATTAAATGTTTTCTTCTTCATTATGTTCAAATGATATCAGATATTATGTCCAGAAGTTACTCTTTAAGTTATTCTTAGTTAGGGAAGTCACAATAACCGAAATATTGTGATATTGTTTAGTCAAAACTCAATAATAGCCTATTGTGGACTGTCACAATATATATCAAATTGCAAAGTTTTTCTATTAAAAGTGTTAAAAAAGAGGGAACTGCATCGGCCATGATCCTTTACTTCATTTACTACACGATAAATCTTATTTCTTTGGAGTATGACAGTAATGAGTCACACTGAAAACTTGTGAAGGTATTTAAAAAGGAAGTATCGCAGTAATTATGGTACCGTGAGATTCGTATTGTAATAATATCGTACCGAGACATTTGGATATCATTGCGTCCCTACTAGTAGTATTCCCAAGTACTTGTTTACTCTTACTTGAGTAATTTCTTAGACTACTATTTTGTACTTCTATTTGAGAAGTATTATTTTGAAGTAACCCTTACGTGAGTACAATTTCTGGCTACTCTACCCGCCTCTGTGTATTACTCATTTGTCCTACTCGAAGTGCGTGTCTGAGTGCAGTTGCTGTAATCAGTGTAAGCCTCTTAATGTGTTTCAAGAAAATCACCTCATTGATTTGACTCACACATGCCCCCTTGTGGTACAACTGCGACACCACACCACAGAATCTTTATTAACTGCCATTTTATTACTCTTAAGTCTATATAATTTATTTTTTTACATGGGTTTCAGGTTGTATCTTACACAGCATGAGATTGTTCAGTACAAGATAGATGGATCTATAATTGTGGAGGATCAATATTTTTCTGTGCTTTATTAATAAGATTTGAGCTGTAGAAGATTCAGTAAATACCTTCTCTGACTCATTAAAGATGCAAACTAACTCATTCATTATTTTTTTGTCCAGGATAATCTTGCTTTAGGGTTGTCGTGTCGCTATAAATTGGTTTCAGTATGATCACATATGACACATGTTTGAGTAATCATTTATCATTAGCCTGTCTACATTTCCAAACATCTAAATTGTTTGTTCCACCTTGTGATGTCATGTAGTGGTTGTTTCAAAGCTACCTTTTAACTTTACTGTCCTACAAATAACCTTAACTTGCCAGAGTGTGAAACTGAGAAAAATGACTTCAAAGTTTCTGTTTTGTCCAGACAAAAGTATAATCGGTAGGACTCCCAAAATTTGATATCTAGTTGCTATAATGAAGAAATATTTGTACGTGAAAAATATTGAGCTCAAAATTGATCTTTGACCCTTATTTGTCAGTTCCTGTTCTCTGCCTTTGTATCATGAGCCAAAAATAATGAGTCATGCAAAGACAAAAGGCAAAAATCAGAAACTGGCATTATCATTATTTACTTGATTTTCTCCAGACTTCCATCCGTTATAAGAAAAACACCTCACCAAGGTTGAGTCATCATGTTTTTTGTTTAAAATTCTATAAAAGAGCTTTGGGTTTCCTGTTTAGTGCTGATCAGGATCATGCTGGGACACTTACACAGTTAAACAGTTTGACAGACGAGTTACTTCACAGTATAGTAGGCAAGGCAAGGCAAGGCAAGTTTATTTGTATAGCACAATTCGTACACAAAGTAATTCAAAGTGCTTTACAGAATAAGAAATACATTAAAATCATAATAAAAACAAATCAAAACATAAATAATCATGAAGATTAAAGTTAAAAAAGAGAGACATAAATTGGAGAGAAGAGTGCGGAATGAAAACCTTTCAGTTATATGCACAGTTAAACAGAAATGTTTTGAGCCTGGATTTAAACAGCGTCACAGAAGAGTCTGTCTCACATGTTCAGAAGACTGTTCCAGGTTTTAGCTGCATGAACCTGAAACACTGACTCCCCTTGTTTAGTCGTGACTCTGAGCACCAGCAGGAGGTCGGTCCCTGAGCTCCTCAGAGTGCGAGATGGTTCATATGACACTAACATGTCACAGATGGTACTTTGGTGCTCGGCCATGGAGAGACTTGTACACAAGCAGAGCTGTTTTAAAGTCTATTCTCTGAGGCACAGGAGCCAGTGCAGAGACCTGAGCACAGGACTTATGTGCTCGTACTTCCTAGTTCGAGTAAGGACCCGAGCGTTCTGGATGTTCTGCATGTTCTCACAGCTCGTTTGGAGAGACCAGTGAGCAGAACATTACAGTAGTCTAAATCTACTGGAGACAAACGCATGGATAAGTTTCTCCAAGTCTGATTTAGACAGTAAACCTTTGATTTTTGCTATGTTTTTTAGATGGTAAAAGGCTGCAGATGTTATTGATTTGATGTGGCTGTTAAAGTTCAAGTCTGAGTCCATTATTACCCCTAGATTTCTTGCCTGATTTGAAGGTTTTAGAGAGAGAGACTGGAGGTGACTGCTGACACTGTCCCTTTGTTTCTGTGGACCAAACACTATGACTTCAGTCTTGTCAGAGTTTAGCTGGAGAAAGTTGTTTTGCATCCACACACTGATCTGTTGGATGCAGTGACCAAGTGAGTCCAGTATGTACAGTATGAATAAATACACAAAATACTTCCACATTAAAGATAATTGAAGTATAATTGAATACAAAGGTTTATTTATTTAATGCGTTCAGACCCTGTGCCAAGGCCGCAACAAAAAGAAAGAGACGAGAGGCTGGATTTTAAAATAAAATATATTTATTAACTAAATCTAACTAAAACAAAACATACACAGTTACTGCTTTTTGTCTTTGCATGACTCCTTATTTTTGACTCATGATACAAAGGCAGAGAACAGGAACTGACAAATAAGAGTCAAAGGTCAATTTTGAGCTCAATGTTTTTCACAATATTTATTCACATGATAAAGAAGGTCTCCAATACAAACAAAATGACATGAACTCATTTCTGACCAAACATGATGATACAGCGTTCTGTCTTTGTAGGACAGTTTATTTTAGTAGAGATGTGCAAATCCAGGACTAAAATGATCCAAATGATTCAAGTGAAGCTGTAGGTGTAAATATTGTGTCTACTTTAATGTCAACCAAGAATATTTTTTGCGAAACTTTGACACAAAAAGCACCAAAAAAACCAAACAAACAGGAGTGAAGAAGTATGGAGTTTAAAAATACAGTGGAGCACTTCCTGTATTACCACATAACATCACAAGGTAGAAGAGGGTTTTCTGTTTAATTTAACTCACCCTAAGTTTCCAGGGTTTGTGTGTACATGTTTTACACGTCCTTTTGCGCATTAAAACATGCAGTTGAATAAGCTACAAGTTCATTGTGTAGGGCTGAGTATCATTAAGAAGTTGCCAATATGATACATACTTCGATACAAAGGCCACAATATGATACATATCTCAACAGAGTGCATTTTCGGTTTGATGAAATACACTACTGGTCAAAAGTTTTAGAACACCACACTTTTTCCAGTTTTTTAGTGTTTACTGTTGACCAAAACTTTTGATTCATGAAAGTGTCCACCTTTGGCAGATAAAAGAGCTGAACACACTCGTGGCTCGTTCTTTTTACAAATATTCTTCAGAAAGTTCTTCCCAAGTCTGTTGCAGAAGTTCCCATAAATATGTGGCACTTGTAGGTTGTTTGACTTTCGCTCTTCTGTCCAGTTCATCCCAAACCAGCTCGATGGGGTTTAAGTCTGGAGACTGTGTTGGACACTTTTCAAGTTCAGCATCTTGTTCTTTTTTCCTGAGGTAGTTTTGGCAGAGCTTGGACTTGTGTTTTGCATCTTTTATCTTTTTTTTTAACATCTGGCTGTTCAGTTCTTACCTTTGTACGATTTCCAGCTACTAATTGGACTCGCACGACTTGAATTGCAATAAATAACTGGAAAAATTAGGGTGTTCTAAAACTCTTGACCGGTAATGTATTTCAAATCGATTCAATACAGTTCAGTAAAAAATAAAGGCTAAATCATGGCTGTGATACGAAAAGTCTTTGTTAAACCACTTCTTGTGCAAAGTTCATATGAAACACAAACATTTTAATCATCAAAACAGTGAAAATGTCAAATGTGTCACATAAATGAGTTTCCTTCCTCTAAACAGGCAACAAAACTGTAACACCGAGACATAATAATTTAGTAAAATGTACTAAAAAACACAGCAGCCCGCGATATCGATACTGTATCATCACATTAAACGATATGATATGCCGATATTTCGATATTTTTGCTCACCCCTAATACTGTGGAACATCCAAAGAAAAGTAAAAGAAAATGTTTGATTGCTTTACTTACTGGTGGAATTGCTAGTGGACAGAATGACCCAGACCTCCAAGACAAGGCAATAACACCTCCATGGAGACAAAACAGACCACCAGAAAAGTTCCGTAGTGCACTTTAACAAATACATGTGCCCTGTAAAGTAGAGCTCCAGTGGTTAACCATATGTTTTGAATACTCTTGTTTGTGTTTCCTGTTTCCTGTGTGCTGTGCAGAGGATTAAAGAGGGCAGCGTGGCGGACGGGGTGAAGGTGATCTGTGTGGGAGATCACATCGAGTGTGTCAACGGGAAGAACGTGGTGGGGACCAGACACTACGAAGTGGCTCGAATGTTAAAGGACCTGCCCAAAAACAAGACCTTCACTCTCAAACTGGTGGAGCCTATGAAGTCGTTCGGTCAGTATGAGTCATAAGAGTGTTACAGATTAGAGTGCTACAATATTTGAATAATATTTTACTACAGCGTTTTTGTGTGATCAGCTTCATTTACATTTGTTAGAGATCTGATTCCAGTGTTGTTTATATAAAATGTATTCACGTGTAATCCCTCATCTTGCCTGAGCAGCCAGTCCCGACTACATCCTGTTTAAGTCTTGGAACGTTCCAACCACAGCCCCTCGTGTGTGCGTCTCAAATGCAGAATACAAATTTCTGTGTCCATTCTAGGCAATCAAACGCCTTTTCAGCATCTAAATCACTCACCTACAGCCTGAAAGGATCCTGTGACATATGAGTACATCCTGAGTACATCCTGAGTATATGCAGCGGTATAAAAATATTGTCAGAGGGATAACGACCCTTGAGGAAATCTGTCTGAATATATGTCCTCTTAAAAGTTTTCGAATAATTCAGTACAAAATGTATAATTTCTTTTACCTGAGATCCAGTCCAACTTTATTTGCATAGCACATTTTGTAAACAAGGCAGTTTCCAAAGTGCTTCACATAGCAATGTAAAACGTTTTACTTTCTCTGATTAGCTAATCTACCTGTCAATCACTCCCTCTGAAATTGGAATTGGGGAGACAGTTCCAGTTCAATTCTTATATAGGGCTAGTTTTATTTTTGGACTATCATAACATGAAAAGGATGAGAAGATCACTCCACTGCAGAGGTGGGGACTTGTAAGTCATGACTTGGACTCAAGTCAAACTTAAGTCACTATATTTAGGGCTTGAGACTTGGCTTGATAAAATGGACTAAGACTTGGGACTTGACTTGGACTTGAGGCCTGTGACTTGAGAAGACTTGAGAAGCACTTTTAAATCTTAATTCTTTCTGTTCTGACCGTAATGATTCACACTAAGATCTTGTCAAGACTTTTAAAAAGAAAAAAAATAACATTTCTACAACTCTTATATACTCTATAAATTCTCATATAAATATACTATGATTTTTAAAGTAAAATTTATCTTAAAATTCATATAAATTGCAAAAATCTAAGCTATATTTGGTACTTAGATTTAAAGACTTGAAATGACTTGAAGCTCAAAGCAGACGACTTGGACTTGACTTAGACTTATGGACCAGTGACTCGAAACTCGACTTGGACTTGCCCGTCTTTGACTTGGGACTTGACTCGGACTTAAGGTCAAAGACTTGAGACTTACTTGAGACTTGCAAAACAACGACTTGGTCCCACCTCTGCTCCACTGTAACAAGTCGTTTTCACTTTTCACACTGAGCGTAATCACAATAACTCCACCTGCTGGTTTGAACATTGTACTGTACGTCCTTTTGACATTAGTATGTGGCTAAAAGCTGAACATAGCCTAATAACAATTTTTTACATATTGTGTGTGTTTTGTATCAGAAATGCTGGAGCCACGAAATAAAGGAGCCAAACCCACCGATGGTAAAGTCGGATCAGGCCGAGCCACACTCAGACTCAGGTCTAAGGGACCGGCCACCGTGGAGGACGAGGTGAGACCAAGATTTATGTTTCATGAATTAGTATCTCATAAAATATTATACTTTTGTTTTACTAGTAAGAGTACTGCTAGTATTGTGAACATTATACTTTATTTAGTGGTAATATGTATAATTGTAGGTACATAGCAGCAATACGTAAAAGCCTCCCCACGTGAATATTGAAGTAAAAATATACACAATAGTACCGTACAATGCAACTGAATAGTGTCATGAACCTAGATTTATGTACAACATTTTAAAGAAGATGGAAGAGAATTATGTTATTTAATAAATTGCTTCCTCAAAAACATACCCGAAGTTCTGTTTTGTTTCAATCACACATGTCTGAGTAACTCTTTATTATCTATTAGTCTGTCTACATGGAGCAAAACATGACTTTAGGTCTGTTTGTGATGAGGAAACAACATTATGACATAGATCAGAACATGAGCCCTTCAAAAATTGTTTAGTTAATAAAAGATTAATCTTCTTTTCTAATTTCCTTCAAGATAAACAAGTAAAGCTCTAGTTAACAGACGCGGCGCCTGTCTCACACCTCCCCAGTCTCACAGCACACCTCTGAATCACCTCCTTCACTTCACTAAAATCAGCCTGGGTTCATTTCTTATTTTAATACTTAACACAACGCTGAGGCGCCAGACTGCCTTTTGGACACAGAAACCTGGCTCAGATTGTTGCCAATATGTGAGTAGCTACAGTTAATGTCAAGTATTCTTAGTGTTGCTAGAGACTGAGGATAATTAATACAGCGAGAAGTAGGAGTAGTACAAGTATCGAAAATACACAATACTAAAACGAGTATTGAAACTACATACTCATTTTAATGTTGAAAATCACATTCTGTTGTCTAAAGAGTTTGAACATTTTGGGTCAGTATTGTGCATCCTACTGTTGTACTCAAGACTGCACTATTTGAGACCAAGACCAGTCCGAGACCCCAGGGTCCAGAGACCAGGACAAGACCAAGACCTGTGAGGGTCGAGACCGAGACAAGGCCGAGACTTTTAAAGGTCGAGACTGAGACAAGACTGAGACCACGTCCCATCGAGACTTTGTTATTTCCTACATTTATTTGTATTTTACAGTTATTTTGGCACATGTATATCAATGCTTTTATAAATCTATCTCCATTTTGTTTGATTAATATTCATTTAGGCTTAAAATAAGACAAACAAACTGTATCACACTTAAAGACTCTGCGCCCCTTTTTTGGACCCTCACTCACAGTTTGAGAGTCCCTTCTTTAACCCCGCTTCCACTGACACTTCAGAGAAAATTACTTCAAAGTGAATCAAGTCATTTTTGTCAAGTTCATAACATTTTCAGTTACATTATCTTAATGGGTGCAGTGATATTTAGCAGCCTCTGCACATTTACCGGCCGTAATAAAATATGATCGCACTCGTCGAGTGTTAGACCTCGAGTCCGAGACAAGACCGAGACCATAAAAAAGCCGTTCTCGAGACTAGTCTCGAGTACTGCAACACTAGCGCAGCCAAGTATTTCGTTATTTACTGAGTATGTTTATCATGTTTGCTTGTGTTTGTAGCCCACAGAGTTTGAGGAGAAAGCAGTGCAGAAAGTGGACGACCTCCTGGAGAGCTACATGGGCATCAGAGACACAGAACTGGGTAAGTTTGCTCACAATATATAAATTTTTGCTTATTGATAAAACTTTAAATACATTTCTATACAGAGACGAATTAGTACCTTTCATTAAACAGTAAAAACACCTGTAATTGAAATGCAAAATAGACAGATACTACTGCATTGTGTAACTTTCTTGGAGGGTCCTTCACCTGTTTCTTTCCATGGAGATATTGCCCGGATTGTTCCACATTATGGCATTACACTTATCTCCACGGAGACAGCAGGTGACACCACAGGTCCAAATTAAATGTCAGATCAGCCCACTCACGGTAATGTTTTTAGGTAAATAAAAACCCATGTTGTTGAGTAAATGCAAGATGGATACAGTTAAGGCCATACCGGGACATTCCAGACAAAGCAATAACATCTCCATGGAGACAAGCAGGTCGCAGCCCTTTCAACTTACAAAGATCTTACAAATAACTCATCAAAAAACTACTGTCTTCCACATTTACTACTTACATTAAAGGTGCATTGTGTAACTTTTCTGGTGGAGAGTTCGTCAAATACTTTTCTCTATGGAGACGTTATTGCTTTGTCTGGAATGTTCCACAGTGTGGCATTAAACCTTCCTGTCTGAGACGAAGACTAAGTTACAGGTCAGGTCTGTGGAGAGGCGACCCTGCTCACAGTCAGAATGTCTGTTTTTCTAGGTATTTTTGAGCTATAAACCCACCTGTAATTGAATAAATGTAAGATAGAGCTGTTTAAAGTCATACTGTGGAACATTCCAGGCAGAGCAATGACATCTCCATAGAAACAAGCAGGTGATGGACCCCCAACCAAAACGTTATACAGTGCACCTTTAAGCATGAAACTTACTGTACGTCCATGATTTGTTTTGATTTTTTTTTCTTTTTTCTCACCAGCGGCTACGATGGTGGAGGTCGGACGTGATAAGAAAAACCCGGATGAATTCGCCATGGCTCTGGACGAGACTCTGGGAGACTTTGCTTTTCCGGACGAGTTTGTATTCGACGTTTGGGGCGCGATCGGAGATGCCAAAACGGGAAGGGTTTAGGTTCAGATCCTGCCACTGTACCAGAAATAACAACAACACTATGTCCTATGTTCCTTTGTTTTTAAATGGACCAAATCTGACCTGCCACGCTGTAAGGGTAGTACATATTAGCTTTGTACATACACGGACTGTCCTGTTTTATAAGCAATTGATACTTTGCAGTGACATCACGCTGGGGGGGACTGCATGTATGTCTATGTAGGAATGTTCAGCAGCTGCACCGTGGTGACACAATGCCAAAAACGTTTTAAGTTCTCAAGAAAAAATACAAAATGGATTTAAACAATCCATTTTAAGGAGCCTGTGATCAATCCGAGCGTTCATGGTTCTGTTTATTTACGTTACTAGGTTATTTTTTCAGACTAAGAGTTTGTTTTCATACCTGACAGTTTTGACTGATGTTGCTCGGACATTTCTGGTCAGCGGATTTACACAGGTTTTGGCGCTGTCTTCCTACCGGTGGAGGCAAGATGACCTATAAACCGGGACGAGGGGGCTTTTTTACTCTCACACACCCGGGATACTGTCCTGAGGAAGTCGGACTGCAGATGGCGCTGTCGTCCTGCCTCCTCCGGTAGAAAGACAGCGCCAAAACCTGTTTAAATCAGCTGACCGGACACATCACAGCTAGCCAGTGCCTCCGCTCAATTTCATTTCTCTCCAGCGACTAAGTCAGGAATCAAAATACAATAGACGTTTTGCAAAAACCCCGGAAGTGCAAATTCGGGCACCAGCCAATCAGCGAAGAGTCATATATTCAGTGTTGTCAGCGATTCCAGAGATCGAGGATTTAAAGCCGGAACAAAGAGAATGTTTGGTGAATTTTATCAAGAGGAAAGACGTTATTGTCCTTCTTCTTACAGAATTTGGGGAAAGCTTAATATACCAGTTAGCTCCATTAGCGGCGCATTACATACGTCCCGACCAAATAGCAGTGATTGGTTAAATGATAAAAAGTACCCTCCTACCATCGAGCGAACGAAATCTAAGGCCAGACGATTTGTACGAAGTGAAACGAAGTAAAACCAGCTGATGAATGGCTACATCACAACAACATCACGTGAACACTCTGTCAGGTATGAAAACAAACTCTTGGTCTGAAAAAAGAACCTAATAACGTAAATTATCGAGAACTAAGTGAACCTCATTGGACTGTCCTGTTTGTGTGTTTTCAACAAAAAGGTGAGCGAATCTAAATGATAAACTGTCAGCTAATGTTATTTGAGAGGGACTTGTTTAACAGCACAAATCTGCTCACCTGTTTTAGTTCCAGCTAAGACAGTTTTATGATCAGATTGTGTTAAAACAAAACTGAGATTAAGGTCTAACTTGAGTAACAGAGCTTCAGACAGAGCAGTGCTTCCAGTTAGTTCCACTCCCCCAGGGAATGTTGATGATTTCAGCTGCAAAGTATCAATAGACGATGTCAACAATTCAATTCAACAAAGTAGCCTCACTATATAATAATGCTTATTGTAGAAATATTTTTATTGTATTTTCTAGAAAGGAGAATTGGTTTAAAATGTTGATTAAGCACTAAATGTTCTATACTTGGTGAATACTTATGTGTTTTGTTGAATAACTTCTGAAGCAATTGTAATTTTATCACTTATTATACCAGTTTGGTAACATTCTCGCCGACTCCAACACAAATGTATAGACTGGATTTTTAGATTTGACCCTTTAAAACTGCTATTGAACGCTATGCTTCCCTGTCGACAATGTATCAAGAACTACATTTGACGTCTTTAAGATAATATATGATCATTTGTAAAACGAAATATAACAGATTTTTATTTTCAGTTGATCCAAAAATCTCTATTATTGGTACCTCAACTTTCTCCAAGCAGCAGTACAACCTTTTTTTAAGCTACGTACCAGTCTGTAACCATTTTCAATCACTAAATTGTTTACGATTCAGCTTTTCTCCTTGGCAGTATAAAAAAATAGATATATATAAGTTTGGATTGAAGTTAAAGGGCTCATATTATGCCATTTTCTGTTGTGTTTTTATGTTTTTATGTTGTTTCCTCATCAAAAAAAACATACCCGGAGTTGTGTTTTGTTTCATTCACACATGTTTAACACAAAAAAATGAATAAATATTGTAACACTTTATTTTAGGGTAGACTTATTAACATACTAACTACCTGCTAATTAGTGTAGTTATAGATGGTTAGTTTGTAATTAATTGGTATTTATTCAGCCCTTATTAATGTCTAATTCTCCATAAGTTTATTCTGCTATTAGTTAGACATTTACAGACACTTTCCTATTAATACACTCCTTATTACTGCTTATTAATGTGATACTAAGCCATTTTTGTCCATGAATTCTAATAAGAGTGTTGTTAATTTACTTACCGTATTTTCCACACTATAGGGTGCTCTGGATTTTAAGGCGCACTGTCATTAAATGGTCTATTTTTGAACTTTTTTCACAAATAAACGGCACTGGACTTCAAACGAAACACAACAGCTGGATGGGTCAGTGGGACTTTGTTTGTTGCATTCACGGTGACTCTAGTCTTTGTTCAGTTGTGGCGTGTAGGGAGGGTGCTGTCTGGGACCGCTGGATTGTCGGCGTGTTCGCAGTGACTCAGTTGTTCAGTTGTGGCTAGAAGCGGCACATTGCACTCACTTTTTCGGCTTTTGAGCACGCCCTATAGTGCAGAAAATACGGTAATTCATGGCTAGTTGGACTCTTAACACTGACTAGACAGTGTTTTATTACATAAGAGAAATCTAAAATTATTAAGTGCAAATAAGTAAAAACTACATTTCTTGTCCTTAACAATACGCTTTTTACCAAAAGCTTATTAGAATCATAATTCATGGACAAAAATGGCTTAGTATCATATTAATAAGCAGTAATAGGGAGTGTATTAATAGAAAAGTGTTTGTAAATGTCTAACTAAAAGCAGAATAAGCTTATGGGGAATTAGACATTAATAAGGGCTGAATAAATACTAATTAATGACAAATTAACCATCTACAACTCGGCTAAAATACCCTAAAATAAAGCGTTACCATAAATATAAATAAAAAATTACTCAAACATGTGCGAATGAAACAAAACACAACTCAAGATGTGTTTTTGATGAGGTAACAAGATTATAACACGTCTTGAAGCTCAAAAGAGTCCATTTTAATTACGATTTAATTACACTAAACAATTGGCTAATAACAATGGTACACTACATCACATTTACTCCATCCATTCCTATTTTTGTGACAGCGCCATCTTGTGTCTTGCTTTAGAAAGTGTTTGATAATGTTGAGGTAGGTGTACTGCATGTGAATACTTAAATATAACTTTAAAATACTTTGAAAATGCTGTCGAAACACCGCGGAAACGTTTGTGAATGTAGAATAGAAACGTGTAACTGGTTAATAATACTTAGTGTCAAATTGAGTTGGCAGAAGTCTGGTACTCTGGAAATGAATGGTACATGTAGAAATTACGTTAGAATAATTACTTTTAATAATAATAAAAGCGGATATTGCCGTGTGCTCACAGGCTCTTTATACTGTATATGCTGCTAATTTGAAATAGGCAGTCTTGTGTAATTAGTGTAACTAGAAATTGTAGAAAATATTTTTGGTTTTTCTATTTTTCTATCTGCAAACGACTACTACTTGTGTCTTTAAAACTCGACAAGCCTTCCATCGATAGAAAGCCCTGTACTATCAAGCTCGATTTGAGATAATTTGGCTTATATTTTTTTATTTTCTATGTTATAATGTCGTTTTCTCGTCACAAACAGACCTGGATTTGTGTTTTGATTCATTCACACATGTTTAACACACAAACCTGCATATTTGGAGTTCTTCTCTCAAACAGAAAACACTGTTCCACCTTGTGATGTCACGTGGTAAAACAAGAAGCGCTCCACTGAGTTTTAAAGCTCCACACACCTTCATCGTCATCATTATTTGGATCAGGAATTGCCAATCTCTTTCTGAACTAAAGGTTAAAGGCGGCTGTTGACTTGAAAACTACCACTTCGTGACATCACCAGGTGGAACGGAGCATTTTGGGCTTTGGGAAATCTACTTTAAATCGACTCTACTTTGAAAAACAAGTGCGAATTAAACTAAACTAAACTAAACACAACTCCAGTCTGTTTTTGACGAGGTAACGGTGTTTCAACAACACTAAAAGCTCACATGAGTTAATTTTACGTAATATAGGGTCCACCATTCTGCTCGTTTCCATGGAGACGATATTGCTTTTCCTGAAATGTTCCACAGTATACCATTAAACCTCTATATCTTGCATTTATTCAATTACAGATGTTTTAATTGTTAATAAATACCTTTAAAAACACGCAATGTGGCCTGGTTGCGTCATCCGTTTGTTGCCGTGGTGATAGATCAGAGTTTAATGCTATACTGTGGAACATTCACAATCAAGGCAGAGCAACAGCAACTCCATGGATATGTGAAGTTGGAAAGCTCTCTAACAGAAAAGTGACGTAGTGGACCTTAAAGAATCACAAAACTGGTCCAATTTCTATTAGTAGAATCAACATTGACCATAATATTGGAATAATTATAAATCAATAATAAAAATAAATAAATAAATCATGTCGGGACATAAAAAAATACACAAGTAACTTCACGGTTTAGTAGGTAGGTGAAGTGCCTTGCTCAGTTACACAAGATTAGATGAAATTTGGGGGGAAGAATCAAAATTTGCAACCATTAATGAGTGCTAATCTTTACAAACTTTTACCAAGCAGTGTGATTAAAGCTCTATTGCGTAACATTTCAGGTTTCCGATGATATTTATTGCTCAAAAAACATATTTGTTCAATCATTTGCTTCGATAGTACAAGGTTTTGGGTTGAAACTAAGCTACAAACATATCAGAGGGACTTGTAATGCCTTTAACTTTGCTCATCCATTCGTTCTTTATTACGCTTTTATTTTGAAATGTGAGATGCATTTTAAGTTATTGCACCATACCTACTGTAACATCTTCTGTTTCTCTTTACGTAAGCCAGTCTTCACGTCCTTAATGCGTCGATCCGTTGTGTTTTAAATGCAATTCTCTGTTTCTGTCACTGTTCGTTTGAGTGTCATTCATATTGTGTCTGCGGTTTGAAACACTATAAGGGATCATGTTTGTTTAGAAAATAAAATTTGATACTCTTCTAAGTGTCGTGTAATTTCCTTTTCGCTTTTTATGTTTGATTAAGAGTTAACAACCAAAAACACTGGCACAGGCTTTATTATTCCAGTTTGTATGCAATTCGTTTTTGATTAGTTAGATTATACTTGAACTAATCTTATGATTATTTGTACAGTGTTTTTCGGTGATTATAATCAAATGTTTATCATATTTTAATTGGACACTTATGTAATCTGCATTGTTAAAGTGAAATCTTGTAACTTCTAAAGATGGAATGTCAAGTGAAGCCTTTTAGTTTATGTCGCACATTTAAAACAACCGTAACAAGTTGCACCAAAGCTCTTTACAGCATGAGACGCAACACTGTGAAACAATAAAACAAATGTAAAATACACTAAATATTACATAAAAGAGTGGCTTGAAACACAAAAGATAAAAGTCTAAAGTTGACTTCTTCAGAGTAAAGCTCATGGGGTATTGAACGCCATCTTAGAGAAATGTGTTTTTAGGAAGGTTTTAAAGCGAATTAAGGAGGAGAATGATCTGAGATGAAGAGGTAGGCTGTTCCAAAACTCAGGGGCGACAACAGAGAAAGCTCGGCCTCCCTCGGTTTTGTGGTGGGACGGACAGGAGTTTGAGAGAGTTTGACCTGAGAGACCGAGCGGCAGAGTGTGGGGCTAAAAAACTGTGGAGTGAGTGAGTTTAGTGATTTAAAAAACAAATAAATACAGAATTGATTTAAAAATGTTATTAACAGGTAACCAGTGGAGTTGGGCTACGATGAGTGTAATATGGTCTCTCGTTTTGGACCCAGTGAGTTGTCTGGCAGCGGCATTTTGGACTAACCGCGACCTATTGAGAGAGGATTGTGGGAAGCCTGAATGTGGCGAGTCGCAGTTATCCGATCTATCAGTTACAAAGGCTTGTTTCAAAGTTATTGCGTGTTAGGATTGGTTATAATTTAGCGATTTGTCTTATTGTTAAAAAGCTAGTTTTAACATTTGAAATTAGTTTAAAGTTTAAAAGCGAGTCGATACAAACAACAAGGTTCTTGCTGTACAAATTTGTAGCAAGAGGCCCAAGGTCAGATGCGAGGGAGTCAGTGTAACATCCAAATAGAATAACTGCAGGCTTATTTTCATTTAGCTGGAATTTTAAGTTAACTGCATGAACTGGAAATAGAAAGTTAAAATCATGATTCAGAACATTCTCCATAGTGTGTGTGTGTGTTTATGTGTTGATGACACAGACCGACAGCCTTGATTTCGGACAGTGTGCCTCAGGGCGGCTTTGGCTACAGCTTTATCTTATCACTACTGACTCTGGAACGCTTTGGCTGTCTCGAAAAGGCTCTATGTCAGGACTCTCCAACCTTTTTCCTCCTGTGAGCTCCTTTACAAAACAAAAATGCCAGAGAGCTACTCATTTTAGAAGCCGCATGAAAGAGAGCAAGCCTTGGGGTACAGCCAGTGTTGGGAAGGTTACTTTTAAAATGTATTCCCCTACAGATTACAGATTACATACCACAAAATGTAGTTTGTGACATAATACATTAAATTACTTGAGGTGAGTAACGTAATCTGAATACTTTGGATTACTTGATTTGCTGTAGAGAAGCAAAGTCGAGGAAATCTTCACATAAGATGTTTTGTCTGCTAAAAGAAAATGAAAAGCCCAGACTTTACTAAACCGTATTAAAAATATTATTGATAGAAGACGAGGACGTCTATGCAGCATGGTTTAGTCCTGTTAAATCCTGTTTTAGACCTGGTTTTAGACCTGGTTTTAGTCTTGATTTAGACCTGTTTTAGATCTAGTTTTAGATCTGGTTTAGACCTGGTTTAGACCTGGTTTAGACCTGGTTTAGACCTGGTTTAGACCTGGTTTTAGTCTTGATTTAGACCCGATTTAGACCTGGTTTTAGACCTGATTTAGACCTGGTTTAGACCTGATTTTAGATCTGGTTTTAGATCTGGTTTTAGATCTGGTTTTAGATCTGGTTTTAGATCTGGTTTGGACCTGGTTTAGAGTCCAGCAATGAGAAAAAAAAAAAGAAAAAAAAAGGGATATAGCCTAAACTGTGAAAACAGGAAAATACTGCTGTGTAATCCATTTATTTCAACAAAGTAACTGTAATCCAAGTACCACTCACTTAAACAGTAACTGTAACCGAATACAGTTACTCATAATTTGTACTCTGATTACGTAAGTCTGGTACATGTAATCTGTTACTCCCCAACACTGGGTACAGAGGTCTATAAAACATTAACCATTGTCCATTTATTAGTGCACAAAGTTGGGTTTCAAAGTGATAAATGAACAATGGTAATAGTCATGTAATAAACCAAATTTGTGTTATTCAGCACAACAGTATAATTCTGAAATCCCTCGGTGAGCTGCTTGGAAGAAAGTGGAGAGCTACAGGTTGGAGACTCCTGCTCTTTAAAAATCAAGTGCATTATTAAAATGATCTTTGAATTTTTCAAAACTAATCAAGTCACTGCAGCCTTATTAAAAATACAATATCATGGGACAAATCACGTGTTCACCTTTTGTGATGTCGTCTAAAATACAGACAAATAACGAAGAACACTGTTACTCAATACACAAACTTTATTTTGCCCAATGGCTGTGTATAAAATACATCGAAACAATGAACAAATGGGTTCCCTTACAGTTTAACAAGGCAAGTTTAAAGGCAGAGTCCAGTGACAGAAACGGATTTAAACTATAAACACAAATCATGTTTACTGGATAGGTTGTATATTGTCAATTATTGTGCTATATAATCTTGTTTTAATGGTACTTATGCAGCAAATCCTTAAAAAAAAGTCCAAATATTCTTCAATTTCACCACGAAACAACACGAAGTGACATGATATAGTTTAGATTTAAGATTTACTGGAACCTAAAGAGAATTTTAACCCCAGAATTTGACCCATCCTTTGAACCAGGATCACAGTTAAGAGGAGTAAATATTTCAATTTCTAACATGTGTATATTTTTGGCTAATGGAAGAAACTATATGGTAACACTGGAAACCCACCCAGACACAGGAAGAACATGCAAACTCCACACTATCTGGACATTAATCCTGCAACCTTCTAGTTTCCTGGTACTCCCAACCCCATCCCAAATACGCCTAAAATATAACAAAACACTGGACTATTCCTTTAAGTAACACAAGTAATACAAAAAGTCACTTCACAGGCAACAAAAGGTACGTTACAACTGAAGTACTTAAACTGTGAGGGTTAAATGAACGTTCGTAGTGTTTAAATAAAGAGAATAAAGAGTATTTTCACATAAGGAGGCTGTAGAGGACGATGGAAGCACGTTTGGAGGTGACTTGGCTAACGGTGCAAAAACCTGGTTCAATTATTTGTGATTAAAGTGCATACGAGAGGTTTGGTGGGACTGTACCTGTGGTCAGTATTTATCATAGTTTAATATTAGTTAAAGCGGCAATTTGTGGACAGAAATTTTAGAAGAAAAGTGCAAAAATACAGAACGTAGTAGTAAGTTCTGTCACCAACACAAAAGAGAGGGGGTATTTTACTTTTAAGGAGTATTAACTGCTAACCCATAACATATCATCATGTTACCTTTTATTGTTTTGAAAATGCTATATTCAGGGTTCCCACTCGTTTTCATGACCTAAAGTGAATTTTCCATGACTTTACGGCACCTACATGTGTAGAATTGATCAGACTTTTAGGGCTAAATATGAAATATTAACCCTTTCCACTCATCTTATGGTTTGGGATTATGGTTTTTAACATTCAAAATACTGTCAGTGCATTTATTGTCGTCTCTTTTAAACAAAAGGCTCAGACATTCGGAAATAATCATAATAGTTTAACAATAACTTAACAGAACGCTGGAGTTGTGTGAAAGAGATACTAAAATTCCATGACTTTTACAAAACTTTCACTGAATTTACAAAAATCCATGACTTATCGATAGCCTGATTCAGCAGCCGGTTTCACTTTGTAGAAACCGTCTGACCTCGCAGCATTAGGATTCGTTTGCTCAACGGTAGGCGGGTACTTTTTTTATTTAACCAATCGTTGCTATTTGGTCGTGACGTATGTAATGCGCCAAATCCCGTAGGAAGAAGGACAATAACGTCTTTCCCCTTGGTGAAATTCACCAAACATTCTCTTTGTTCAGGCTTTAAATCCTCGATCTTAGGAATCATTGCTAAAACAGAATGTATGTCTCTTCGCTGATTGGCTGGTGCCCGAACTCACACTTCCGGGGTTTTTGCGAATCGTCTAGTGTATTTTGATTCCTGACCTAGTCACTGGAGAGAAATGAAATTGAGCGGAGGCACTAGGTGGTGCCAACCTGACTAACTTTGAGGCCTGGACATGACTTTTCCAGGATTTACTTGACCGTGGGAACCCTGTATATTCACTGAAAACAACATGAACACTTTAGTTTTTGACGCCAAGTCCTTTCGCTCCCTGTGTTAAGTCACTCCCCCCTTAGAGTGCGATCACAACACTATCAACGTGCTAATGAACCGCTAATGAAACTACTGCTCATCACATCAGGTTTGTGAAGTTGTCATGCTTTCATATTTATGGTGAATTGTCGCGTGGGAGCTTGTGGGCGGAGTCTTCCACAGGGTTCGACTAGAGCCTACAAGAGATCTCTAAATTACTCAAAACATGCATAGATGGGATCTAAAATCTCTTCAGGCATGTTTTTGATGAGAGAACATTATAACATGAAGAAATCTAAAAAAATAAATAAATAAATTGCAGAATACCCCATGTTTTAGTGAAATGAGCCTGAACCTGTCGTATGCACTTTAACAGCATCTGGAAACACTGCGGGTCAGAAAGTCCAGCTAAATGTTTGGTACCTACATTATATTCGACATTATCGTAGAAAATGCATAGAGTCTACTTAAGAAAACAAATTTTATCAGTTATATTTGTCGGCCCGTGTATCATTCGTTCTTTTGAATTTCAATTAAGAATGAAAAACAATAAAATGAGAAAACAGTTTGTCATTTCATTTTTCCGTTTTAGTGTCAGAAAAACACCTTTCGACCTCTAGTTCCAATATTTCATTTAAACGTTTATTCTCAATCTCGATGTCTATTTCAATTTAGATATTTTATTTGGCTTATTTGCCCCGGAAGTTCTGCTGCTAGAAGGACTCGCCTGAAAAATCGTTGCAATTTTATGGACAAATGCGTCGTCTTCTTTTATCGTGACGTGTTAACTTTCGTGTCTTAGAAAGTCATTGTTGAACTCCATGATGAGAAACAGGTAACTGCGACAGAACTATAATAAAAATAGTTTTATTATAAATCTATTGCTGACACTGCAGCAGAACTTCTGGGGCAAATAAACCAGAGAGAATAAAATATCTAAATAAAACAGGCACAGAGACAGAAATAGTGGTGGAAATCAGTTTTTTTGTTTGACACTAAAATGAAATAATGAAATAACGAAATAAACTGTTTTCCCATTTTACTGTTTTTCGTTCTTAATTGAAATTCAAAAGAACGAACCTTTGTCCTGCATCTTTAATTACTGACCTTAACCTAAATGAAGCAAAAACACCAATAGTTTTTGACCCAGTTCACAAATACAAAATTAATGCAATATCTTGATCTTAATTGATTAAAATTTTGAGAAAGAAGTTCAAATATTTTGGCTTTTTAACTTGTATATGCAATCAAAGTTTTCAATATGCAAAACTGAGCTAAAATCTTGCAAAATACAAACTTTGCATTTTTAGATGTGCCACTTGTTTTTTATGAGTAATTGTAATTTTTAGCAATAGATCTTGTATACTCGAAGTTTTTTTTAGAAAATGTTATCCCCATTTTTGAACAAACTACACAAAATATTGCAAGATAAATTTGGGAGCAGCTGATTTCAGATTTAAATCTTAAACCATGGAGCGGGCTTTCTTTTGCAGTGTTCACAGATGTAACTTAAATAACTACGTTACTTGGCTCTGTGTAATTGTCCATCCTCTACAGACCAGAGTGACAGTCTTATGGCATTCAGAGAAAACAGTAAATTACAGTATCATGATCTGAACGTTACCAGGCAGAAAACCCATGTGTAAGACTATCAAATACTGCTGCCTTTGTTTTTGTTCAACTGGGGCTGCACAATATGTTCACCTCTTTAATCAAAACATCAACTCAGGAGTTTATTTCTTGAGGAGTCAAAAATGAAAGTGTTTGTCCTGACTAAACCTTTACTTGACGTCACAATTTAAGCCCTTTTCGCACGGGATTAGTTTTACCGGTGGACCTCTGGTGATTTGTAATAATTGCGGAAGATGTCTGAGATCTTAATCCATGTCTGTAATTTGTAAAGTAAAAATTCTGCAGCAAATTACCTACTTTATTTTGCTAAACATAGACGTCCGGTGATAATACTAGTCCCGTGCAAATCTGCATCTCAGAAAAGCGGAGATATTACAACAGCAAACAGCTTAATTTCTTTTGTTTCCGTGTTCTTTTCTCTTTCAACCTCAGTGTCAATGTCAGTAAAATAGAGAAATTTACCCACTTTGCTTATCCCGTGTGAATGCGCCTCAAGTAACACAGATTTGCAAATTACCAGACGTCCCCAGGTTGTACTTATCCCGTGCGAATAGGGCTATAGTCATGTATTTGTACTGTTCTTCGTTAAAACTTGTACATAAAGGCATTCAATTCTGCTCAGTAATAGAGAAAAACATACATTGCAAAAATTTGAGCTGTATTTGAAATAATGTTTACTGGAAACAACAAGCGTCTAGAGCAGAGGTGGGCAAACTTTTTGACTCGTGGGTCACAAAAGGGGTCTAAAATTTGATGGAAGGGCCAGACCAGGAGCAGATGGATGGAGTTTTTTGGTAATCCACCTCATAAAAGAAAAAAAATTGAAAAAACTGAAATATCCCATAATTGAAAAACATTCCAAAGCATTACAACAAATTATCTGTCTTTTAAATCCCACAGCATTTACTATTGATTGAAATGACTTTTAAAACACTGAAAATTATTATTATCAATATTCAAGTTTGGCGGGCCAGATTAAAAAGATTAAACGGCCGCATATGGCCCCTGGGCCGTAGTTTGCCCACCCCTGTGCTCGAGCATTCATCCTGTTTTTGTGTCCTTCACCCACATTGCCGAGTATGTATGTGGTGTGAGTGTTGGTGGTGGCCAGAGGGGCAGATGTGGCAGATTGGCAACCTCACTTTTGTCACTTTGTCACTTTTGTCTGTCCCAGGGCAGCTGTGGCTACAATAGTAATTTACCACCACTGAGTGATTAATCATTAGAGTGCAGCAAGACTTCAGCAAGCACTTTAAGGCATTATAATTCTTTTTGTATTGTCAAAACATAATCTACAATAATCTACTGTAATATGATGCAAGTTTTAAAAGTCCCTGTAGGGCTACTCCTCCTCCAGTCTACTACAGGTTTTGGAGCGGCAGAACTAATCTGTGTATCACTCGTTTATTAGTTTTTCCAAAATAAAACCAAAAATAAGAAAAGAAAAAAAAAAACAGTTTTTTAAATTATTTGTCTCTAAAACCAACATGAAAAAACAGAAAACAATTCGTTTTTTCAGTTTCCGATTTTGTGTTTAAATTAATAATGGAAAAATGGATAACGATTGTTTCCCGTTTCCGTGACTTAAACTGTGATGCTGGACGTCTGCGCCGCATACGGACTGAACCAGGACTAAACTAGGTCCGAGACCAGACTGGAACGAGACCGGGACCAGACCGGGACTGAGTCTGGGACCAGGACCAGGACTGAGATCAGGCCTGAGACCGGGACCAGACTGTGACTACAGACTGGGACTGAGGCCGGGACCAGACCGTGATTGAGACCGGGACCGAGGCCGGGACCGAGGCCGGGACCGAGGCCGGGACCAGAACAGGACTGAAAACGGTTTAGTCCTGGTTTACACCTGGTTTAGACCTGGTTTAGTCCTTTTAGTCCTGGTTCAGTCTTGGTTCAGTCCATATGTGGCGCAAAAGTCCAGCATCACAGTTTAAGTTACAGAAATATTATCAGTTTTTTCCATTATTCATTTAAACACAAAATCGAAAAGGGAAAAAACAAATCATTATCTGTTTTTTCATTTTGGTTTCGGAGACAAATAATGAAGAATAGTTTTGTTTTTCGTTTTCTTATTTTTGGTTTTATATTGAAAAACAAATGAACGAATGATACACGGATTCAGAACAACCTCCATAAAATTCAGAACAGATTTCCTTTCCCCACTTGCACCATTTTTGTTAAAGATTGGAGCTATAATGCTAATCTCTCCCAGAACCCTAAGTGAACATTCTTATTTGTTTATATTGTGCAGCCCGAGTGTCAGAATAGTTATTGGTTGTCCAGGGTTGTGTGGTAGCCCTTACAGCCTGATGTGAAATAGGTTTTCTTCAGAGCTCGTCTCCGCTGTGGCGTTTGAAAGCATCTCCGGTCAGCGTCTCCTGTGCCTCCCTCATCCCAGACACGACTGAAACACACACAATAACACAATAACATGTCAGTGTCTTTAAGTTTAAGTGTGCCAGGCTGTAATCTGGGTAAGAAAGAGCAAGATGGCGCCTGTGCTCAGCTCTCTCTCTTCCTTTTATCACCTGAGAAACATTTCAAAATGGAGGAAAACGGTGTCAAAGACTGGAGATGATCATACGTGCTTGTGTCTCTCCTCGTCTCGACTACTGCAACTCAGCGTTTACTTGTTTTAATAAAGGCAGCTCTCCAAAGACAACAGCTTGTGCAAAACTCTGCTGCAAGGATTTTAACAGGAACCCCCCAGAACAGTCCACATTACCCCAGTTTTATCATCTGTTCAATGGCTACCAGTAAAAATATACACGCTGACTTGTTTTGGGTTTACTCCTCCAGCTGCTCTCTCCAGTAATCCGGCCAGAGCCTCCTCATGGCCCAAAGACTTGGTTTAAAACTTGAGGGGGCCTGTCCTTCCAGGCTGTAGGCCCCAGACTGTGGAATGCCCTGCCCCTGGTCCTCCGTGAGACCTGTTCAGTGCACTCTTAAGAAGCAGCTGAATCATTCGTTCATTCTCAAAATAAAAAACAAAAATAAGAAAACGAAAAAAAAAAACAACAACAACTATTTTCTTCATTATTTGTCTCCAAAGCCAAAATGAAAAAACAGATAACGATTAATTTTTTCAGTTTTCGATTTTGTGTTTCAATGAATAATGGAAAAAACAGATAACGGCCGTTTCCTGTTTCCGAACCAGGACTAAAACAGGACTGAACCAAGACTGAACCAGGACTGAGCCAGGACTGAGCCAGGACTGAGCCAGGACTGAGCCAGGACTGAGCCAGGACTGAGCCAGGACTAAACTAGGACTGAAACCAGGTCTAAACAAGAATTAAAACAATCTTAGTCCTGATCACCCGAAAGTCTACGCGGGCGCAACTCCGGGTCCATCCTGACACTCCTGGTTCAGTCATGGTTCAGTCCAGCATCACAATTTAAGTCACGTAAACGGTAAACTGCCGTTATCCGTTTTTTCCAATATACAAGACAAAAACGAAAACAAAAAAAATCATTATCCGTTTTTTTCATTTTGGTTTTGGAGACAAATTAATGAAGAAAATAGTTGTTGCTGTTTTTTTTTCGTTTTCTTATTTTTGGTTTTTATTTTGAGAATGAACGAATGATTCAGCTGCTTCTTAAGAGAGCACGACAACATGATTTTATAGTTGGGTGAATGTGTACTATGTCTGTATGTATCCATATATTCTTCTTACTTTTCTAATATTATTCTATGATCGTTATATGATGATTTTATTATTATTATTTGTATTATTATTACACAATATGTTGACTGTCTTTGTTTTTTGAATTATGGGGTTTTGTGTGCACTGTTTCTTTATGACCTGTCACCCTTGGGTGCTTGCCACACCCTATTTAAGATGGCCACCTGAGCTCTCATTCTGTTTGCCTGACGAAGGCCTAGTGCCGAAACGTTGCACGGTTTGTCCTAATAAATTTCACAGTTTGCAAGTAAGACGGTGTGCGGGATTTTTCTGTATGTTCTGGGGCTGCTCCCTCTCCTCCAACGCACCCGTCTCTAGTAGTTGATGTGCGAGGCTCTCATTCTCTCATATGGTTTTGGAGACAAAAAAATGAAGAAAATTGTTGTTTTTTTAAGTTTTCTTATTTTTGGTTTTATTCTGAAAAACTAATGAACAAATGATACACAGATTCAGCTGAAAACACTTCTTTTTGAAATGGCTTTTAGTAGACTGGACTGTTACTTCAGTTAATTTCTGCATTTTTTTCTATTTGTGTATTTATTTAAAGCACTTTGCGATCTGTGAAAAGTGCTACACAAATAAAATGTGCTTACTTACTAACTAATCAGGAATGCATTAATTGAATAGTAAACATTTTCTGCAGCCAAGGGGTCTTCAACCTGTAGCTCTTCACCCCTTTTCAAGTAGCTCACCACAGGATTTCTAAATTACACGTATTGTCCTGAAAAACTCAAAGTTGATGAATTAAATGCCTATTGTTACTGTAAATCTATCATTTTGATGCCCGAGTTTGTGCACTCCTAAATAAATTATGTTTTATGTTTTATTTAACTGTATTCCATCTATGTCTTGCCATGGCTCTTATAGTTTTATTTCCTACAACTACTAAAAGCCGTAGCTGTCTAGAATTTTCGTTTAGTAAAGGTAGCTCACCTAAGGAAAAAGGTTGGAGACCCCTGCTTTGGGCATTTTTAAATTCTATTTTATATTCCACTTTTCCTATATGAGACAAAAAACAAACAATAAACTGAATCATATTTACCCTGCTCTGCGTTGCTGTAGAAGTACTTGTAGTTTGGATTGCCATTTCTGTTGGTGATTTCAGGGTGAACCTTTCCATGAGGATCTGGAAAAGAATAAACACACATTGATATTAATTAATAATAACAAATATGAAAATCTTTCCTGTAGATGTATGCACTCTGACAATACTTTAACAGCATAACTCAAATTTAACATCTTAAATTTACAAAACACACACAGAAAAAAATACAGAGTTTAACTTTTCTTTAATTGTAGAGCTGCTAACATTGGTGACATTGGCAAGTTGGTTAGTTTTAGCTTTAGTGAGCACTAAAATAATCACCACACATCAGAAGCACAACTAAAAACTGTGTTAGACCTTTTAAGTTTGAATAGCGTTTATTTATTACCAGGATTACTATAAGGTGCATTTCCTAACTTTTCTGTTGGAAGATCTGTCAAATGCTTGGATTTTCTAGGTATTTTGAGCAATAAAACCACCTGCAATTCAATAAATATAAATACTGTGGAACATTTTAAGCACAGCAATGACATATCCATAAAAACAAGCAGATCACAGAGCCCCAGCCATAAAGTTACACAGTACACCTTTAATGATACTGTGTCTAAGTTGTCATATGGGACAAGTATTCCCTCATATCCTGTAGCTTCACACGTGTTTGGAAGTCAACAAACCAGACCATGTTCGTACCGAGGAAAAGAATGCGGGGAATGTATCCTCCGTCTGGACTGAAGGCATCGTCCTTTGGCTCCTCCTCGTCCTGTTCAAAAGCCACACACACAAATTAAGACACAACGGACTCCGCGGAAGAGGCCTGGGAAAATCTGAATGAATCTGCACCTGTTGTGGCATTTGCTGCACATTTCACATTACAGTAACTCACAGGGTTCACACTCTTTTTTACTGACTTTTTCATGACCTAAAGTGAATTTGTCATGACTTTTGATCAGACTTTTAGGGCTAAATATGAAACTGTTAACCCTTTCCAACTCACCTTATGGTTTGGTATTATAGTTTTTTAACATTCAAAATAGTGTCAGTGCATTTATTGTCATCTTTTTTTTAAACAAAATGCGCATACGTTCGGAAATAATCATAATAGCCTAATGATAACTTAACAGAACGCTCTAGTTGCATGAAAGTGATACTAAAATTTATGACTTTTCCAGGCCTAAAAAATGACATTTTCAATTTCCATGACCGTGGGAACCCTGACTATTTCTGATTACAGTACATCCAAATCCAGTTTATTTATAAAGCACTATTAAAAACGCTCGTCTTAAGACCCACTTTTATTCTCTGGCTTTTAACACCGCGTCAGTTGTGTGGGCCTCTGTGTTTTTTTAATTTATTTTTATGTGTTTGTATTGGTTTTATTGATTTAATTTATTTATTGATTTATTTATTTCTATTCTATGATTTTGTTCTTATTTTATTTTACTGGTTTTATTATTTTAAGACTAGAATTATTTTAGTAGTTTATTTTATCATTTTATTATTGTTGTTATTATTATGTATTTGTGCAGCACTTTGGAAACTGATTGTTTGTGAAATGTGCTATAGAAATAAAATGGATTGGAAAAACAACAAAGTTTACCAAAATGCTACACACAAAAATAAAAACATATGTATAATACAATAAAAAAAATATATATACAGCAATTATTGAACAGTAAAAGACCTCAAAACTAGTTAAAAGTCAAAGAAAACAACCGTGTTTTAAGAAGTGATTTAAAAGCAAGAAGAAAGTCAGCTCGTCTTATGTGAATAGGCAACTCAATTCATAAATTAGGCGTTTAGTAACTCAAATCTGACTGGAATTTGAATTAATAGTGTCGTTATGATACTTACATTATTATAAACACAATTTCTTTAGACAGTAGAAAGTGATTTTTATTTAAAATCATAGTACCTTCTTTTATATTCCCATGTGGTCTTATATCTGTGTCTATCTTTTATTTCTTGTACTTGTTCTGATAAAGCTCAAGATCACTCTAAAACTACTCATAAAAGCTTCATTTCTGTCCTTTGAATGTAACTTTTTTAGTGTCTAGGTTCGATACTAGTTTTAGTATCGATTAGTATCTGATTTTCGTTACCTCCAATAGTACATTTTACGGAATTATTCAATGAGATTCAATGATCCTAAAGGTTGTAGTCACAAATACAGATACAGAGCAAGGGCCTATTAAAACTCTATGGGAGAGGTATTATTTTTAATTCATCGTTTGGGATCGGCTCCACAGACTTGCCATATTAATCATACGCCTTAAAGTCCTTTGAACAGTCTTTTGGCGTTGAATAATCGTGCTATAAAAAAAAAAAAACTGGCAGAGAAGAGGTTTGTGCCAGTTTGATGCAGTAATTACAGAGGAGATATTAACCATAAACCACTAACAAATCTGCAATCTGTCAGCTAAATGGCAAATCCATTTTTTTTCTTTTTTTCAGCTGTCAAAAAATCCTCCCTACAACCTTACCCTACGCTAAACCTCATAATCCATAAAAGAAAACTAAACAATAAATAAAACAAAAGGAGAATACCTCAAGGTTGACCATGACAAAGTTGTGTGCAAGTTCAGAAATGTCCTTGGACTCTGCAAACTTGGGCTTCAGCGCTGATTTGACGAGAAAGAGAAGTTCAAGTTCAGTTTACAGTTTCCCACAGAGTTAATATTCAAACAGACATTTACATTGTACCTTTGCAGGCGCCACACCAAGTCTTGTGAATTATGACCATCATTGGCAAACCGCTGGGAAAGAAAAGATTAAATGAATTGGCTGGTAATTTATTAAGCGTATATTCCTTAAAAACTGCAGTATGGAACTTTTCTGGTAGAGGAATTGCCAAGTACTCGTCACAAGGAGTGTAATGGTACGTGTCTTTGTGCCGAACTTTTTTGGTACGGTGCGTTCGGTTCGGTGCGCAGCTATGCAGGAGTAAGTTCGCGCAATTCGTGTGTGTTTACATTCCACTACTACATGTGCAGCTACACAGAGGCTTGGCTCTTTAATATTCACAAGGGAACTCGTCCGTGATTGGGGCAGTGTTTCCCGCAGCGCTTTGTAGTTAGGGCGGCCACGTTGACAACAATCGCCTCCCACCTTGACTACGTCCCTTGGAACCATGTGAATCCTCACAAAACTACAGTCGTCGCGCCGCACTCCTCACTTTTGCTTTTCGCCGGCACGAAATCTCCGTTCTCCCCAACTGTCAGCAGATCTGCACTTACTGCAGACAATGTGGACAAATTGTTTTTTCTGACCCAAAATATGAAGATTGAGTAAAACCTCATGCTGGAACTGTTAGTGCTGCGCTTTACTTTTTGAAAAGTTTTTACTTTTTTTGTTTTACTGTTTACAAGGAATTTTTTTGTTGCTTATTTGAGAATATTTTGTTTAACTTATTAGTGTTACCAACCAGCTCTTTGCATTTATTTTATTTTCCTGTTTGTATAATGTTAACACAAACTGTTTGTTTAATAAAAACACAAATAAACAACAAGCAAATGATTTTGCATGTTGTTCCCATACTGTACCGAAAATGAACTGAACCGTGACCACAAAACCAAGTTATGTACCGAACCATGATTTTTGTGTATTGTTACACCCCGACTCGTCACATATGATAATCTGATGCCATACTGTGGAACCTTACAGGCAAAGCAATAAGATCTCCATGGAGACAACCAAGTGGAAGACCCTCCATAAGAGAAGTTACATAATCCACCCTTTAAGCATATGTGTGCATTAATAACATAATACTACATGTAATACTACCTCACCAGTCAGTCCATTCTACATTCTGTTTCCTGAGGGTTTGGAATCGGACCACAGACTGAGACAAAACTCCATCTTAACTCGGGACGGTCCAAACACAGATGCCAATTTGAATCTCAGGTCTCTCAAATGCGCGAGACATCTCCTCTCAAATATTCATAACAAAATCATTGACGTTTTTTTTTTAAGATAAATAAGAGGCTGATGATTCAATTGTTGAGTCTACAGAAATGCCCTGCCCTTTTTTTCTTTGTAAGCCACCGTGTTTGTTTTGACACAAACGAACCGTCTTTGTGAAGTTTTGTCAAAGCCTGTGACTCTGGCCGGACAGGTTAAGGTTTCCAAATTAGAAAATACAATTAGTTTGAAAAAGCTTAACAAACCTGGCTTGTGCTTCCTTTTTACCATCATCCAGTGATCTCCAGTGGATGTGATCCCCAAATCCTGCAACAAAATAAAACATGTATAGTATATCCTCTGTCTTTACACAGATAAATATAAATACTAGAACATAAACAAACCAGTTTCACCAAATCCAAGAGAATTCAGTGAAATGTAATCCGTGGAAGTCGATATGTGTCTCTTATTGTGACCTGTTGTGTTTGTTTAGGCGTGTCCATTTGCTCCGGGTCTAGATTAACTAGGTTAACATTCACAATATTCTCTTTGGCACAATGGAAGAATAAATTAGGCTGAAAAGACCCAAAGGGAGTTCTGTTTCTGACAGGACTGAACAAGTATTGTACATTAGTGATAAATAAACCTTCTTAATTTTAATTGTTAAATCTTATACTTATAATTCTAGCTTTTATACTAGTTTCAGACTAGTCTTATATTTGTTCTGATACAGCTCAAGATCATTCTAAAGCTATTCAGGTCTGTTAATGTGACTTTAATATTGGCATTTGCGACATTAATTTTAGTACGGAGAATTTTCAATACTTCTGACAACCCTAACTGTTGGCCTTTTCTACTAAAACCAATCACACACCTCATTCATTTAGTTGAAGGGAGTAAAGTTCAACTGCACTGCAATGGTTGCCACCTGCCTGGGATCAAACCACAGACCTTTGCATTCAATTTTGGTGAGGTGACCACAGATTGTACAACTTTCTTTCTGCATGAGAATTGGATACAGGCTGTAAATTAAACTGGTCAAAATTATACATTATAATGAACCGATTAAAAGATGACGAAAGGAAATTGCATAATTCTAATTTGATTAATTAAAGGCTCCATATTACTTTTTATTTTCTGATATATGTTATAAGTCAGGTTTGTTCTGTTCACACACATTTAAAACACAAATCCCCGCTTCTCTCAAACAGAAAACACTCCACTCCACTTTGTGACATCATGTGTTAATACAGAAAGTGCTCCACTGTGTTTTTAAACTCCATACACCACGATCACTACACTTATTTGGATGATTTCAGCCCTGGAATTGCTGATCTGTAGCTGTTTAAAATGACCACTACATGACATCACAAGGTGGAACTGAGCATTCTGAGCTTTGGAGATGCAGACAGATTAATAATGAATGAAATAAAACACAACCCCAAGTATATTTTTGATGCGATAACATTAATTTGTCTGAAATCGCACAATAGTCAACTGTGTCTAAAACAGAACCTTTATATAATGAATGGACTTTGCCAGAGATTACTTAAAGTTCAAGTTTAGAATAAAAAGTAAAACTCACAACGCCAGGTTAATTCATAGGAAATAAAAGATTACATTGGATGAAAATTCTTGAAAAAAAAATAAAAATAAATAAAAATTGTGTCAATGTGGTGAGAATAAAAAAAAGCCACACAAAGACATTTCTCTTCCAAAATAAACACTATATGATTAAGTTATTGTGTTAGTTGAGTCTTATCCAGGATGTCATCGTAATGCTCCAGGATGCTCATAATAAAAGCGTGCCCTCCTTTCTTGCACTTTTCGCTTATAAAACACTCACCTCGTCCATCAGCTGCATCCACCACGTCCTGGAAAACGGACAGAGAAAGAAGAGCCTGCAAAATGGAAAATACGGCCAGTTTCACTATAGAAGTCTGCATTTTTCCGCTCTTTAGCCGGCTCTTTGCTTCACGATTGGAGAAAGTGCACGAAAAGCTAATCACAGGCTGCAGGTTTCGGTGAATTAGCAACCCGGAAGTCCAACCTCCAAGTTTCACAATAAGAGTCTTTGCTGGAGTTTGTAAAAAAAATAAAAATAAAAATAAATAAATCAATAATAATAATAATAATAATAATAATAATAGTAATACGTTGTGAGTTTTTTTTTGGTTTGTATGTAATTTTTGAGCAATACATATACTATTTTAGTGTTTCAAAATATGACCTAATATTTTATAAGAGGGCAACTTTAATCATAAATGGTCAATCATAAGAATAATTTCAGTTTATGGCTTAATGTGAAATAAAATAAAATGCGTAAAACAATATTATAATGAATACAACTTAATTAGACATATTCTTAAAATAATTTAAAATAGACAGTGAAATATGACTTCCTTATTAACAATATTAAACCTCCTCATATCTGAAATAATTGTTACCTAAAATTGTGTAAGAAGGCACTGTTAAACATAAATGGTCAATCATAAGAATTATTTAAGTTTATGGCTTAATATGCAATAAAATAAAATGCATAGGACAATATTATAGTGCATACATCTTAATCAAACTTAAAGAAGGGAATATACTTAAAATAATCAAAAAAATACTTATTCCTTATTAACAATTAGACCTCATATCTGAAATAATTATTAGACTATATTGTACCATGATCTGCACTGGATTTTGTAATTGCTTCTCTAATGTAAACACGTTATTTATTTATTTTACCGACGTATTAATACTGTGAGTTTGCTGAGCATGCACAACCCTGCCTTGATCCATATGGCATGAAAAGGCCAACCCACTTTACTATTTTATTTTCCATTTTTGTAGCCTCCACTCTGACATCACATCCAGATAACCGCGTGTTGCAGGCTGCGAGGCAATTAGTCAAGTTAGAAATTACAAACACACACGTAAACCGGAAACACATCTAATTTCAACACAATAAAACCACAAATAGGCACCAGAAAATCTACATTAATACAAATATAAAGACAAAATATTGCTAAGAATATTTAAAAATCAACATTATATAAAATTTAAACGTCGTAATTTAGCCGTATTACTTAAAAACAACGTAAATTTGCGGCGCGGTTAGTTTTATTTTGAAAGAGTTCACGGGAAATATGTCTAATTGTTTGGCATTGTTGTAAACCGTTAGCCCAGCTGCTGCTTCACCTCGTTTCTGCCTCACCACTTGAACATTCTGTCACTAAACTCCAATCAAAAAGGTAAATAATTATTCATCTCGACATCACTTTTATTAACCAAGTGGTGTCAGTCTTTGTTAATCTTTAGATGCCGTATTTTGCTGGTTTTGTTGGCAAAAATGGGCAGCACGAGTCGATAATCTAGGCTCGGCGTGCTACTATTAGCGATATTAGCTACATAGACGTGATCAAACATCGCTATTTAATAAAACATGTGGACAGAAGTAAAAATGGATAAATAAATCCACGACATAGCGTTTTAACAGCATGTTTTGAATGTAATCCAAGTGTAAAATTGTTTATTGTTTTAAAATGCTAAGCTAAGAGGCTAAAGGCTTATCTATTCTTAACCTTTAATTAATTTATTAGATTTTTCTTAATAATATGACACCAGTTTTGTTAATAATTGATAAAAATGCGTTTGTTTTATTTTTCTTATTTATTTAGCTACATATTTGACACTAAAGAGAAAAGAAAAGGAACATCCGCTGCATTGTAGTTATTAAATAAATCTTTATTTATAAACCACAAAATTTACAAAGTGCTGTACAAGCCACAAAGAACAATAAAAAAACATAAAAATAGTTTATAGAAGGCATTCAAAACGGACAATAATGCAAACAATTCAAGTAATTACAATAAATAAAAAGAAATAGAATAAAAATTATTTTTGTAACCTGAAATTCCTTGCATATGACTGAATGACACATGACAAAATTTGCTCTGCGTTTCTTGATTATCTGGTTTTTTTTACCTCCACCCCCAGCTGACCCAACCCATTTGTTCCTTTTCTAGAGAAGCAGCATGAATCGGGAAAAACTTGCAAAACTTCAGGCTGAAGTGCGGATAGGAGGAAAGGTACAGTTACAGTTGTTATTATTAATATTGTTTCTAACTTGACTACTATTTTCCTAGCTTTCCTTATATGATTTCTGAGTTAACAGCTGTTGTCTTTTCAGCTGTTGCGTTTGTAAATAGTGAGGTCCGTTTGCGCATCTGTGAGCCCTGTTAATCCTGACCTCAGCAGTTCTTATTAAAACACAGACAAAAGCTTTCTCTGTGGCTGTTTCCTCTCTGTAGACACATGGTGGCGCTATCTTACTGTTTTTGGTTGTTAAAATGGCCTCTGTTGCTGTTGTGAATGATTTGTACTTTACAGCTTTTTATTAATAAATGATTAATGTTGTGACGATAAAGAAAGTTTGAAATCGATTTCAGTACTTGGGAATAGACTTGATATACTCAGTTGTAATTCTGATACCATGATGAAAATAAAAAACAATCTTTTCTCTTCATCTTGCCTTGACAAAGTGGCAAAACTGTATGCAAAGGTTTTTAGTAAATTGAGTTGTTTTATTCAGTTTTGTGATCTCATTCCTGGACTGCTACAATTAAAACTTATATTGAAACTTGATACTCATTTGAGCAAGAATCGATACTAAAGTCACATTAATGGCACAAACTTTTAGCTTTAATTAACAGTTTGTGTCATTTATAGCTTTATCAGAACTAGTATCTCATGCTTTCATAAAGAAAGTACTGTTATTATTTCTATATGACAATTATTTTCTATTATTAAAAAGTATATTTCATTAAGGTTACCGATACGATACTTACCTCAATACGTAGGCTACGATACAATATGTTTTTCAATACAGTGCACTTTTGATTCAGTATGATACAGATATATTTCTAATGGATTCGATGAAACAGCCATTTAACTCATCAAAACAGTAAAAATTTCAACATGGTTGTAGCTCTTACACAAAATAACTTAGTAAAATATACCTAAAAATATTCTTGGCGATATATCGATACAGCAGCACAATATCGATACTGTATCATCAAATTAAACGATACGAAATATCGATTTTTCAATATTTTTGCACACGCCTAGTAGGGATGTGTAAAATATTGAAAAATCAATATATCGGAATATTTTTAGGTATATTTTACTAAATTATTTTGTTTAACAGCTACTATTGTTTTGACATTTTACTGTTTTGAGTAAAATGGGTTTTTCATATTAACTATGCACAAACTTAGTGGACTTAGTAGACTTTTCTACTTAGTCACACTAACTCACAGCCATGATTTAGGCTTTGTTTTTTACTGAACCGTATCAAATTTATTTGAAATATATATTGCACTGTATCGGAAAAAATGTATCATATCAACAACTTCTTAATGATACCCAGCCCTAACACCTAGTAATCGGTTTTGTGTTTTGAGTCAAATCCTTGGTATCAAAATCAATCAAGTTTGAAATTCCGGTATCGTGACAGCACTAATTTACTAAACAATGTACAGTAGTTAACGTTGTAAAAGACAGAATCTTCAATTTCATGGCTTCCCCTTTGTGTTCTTTTTTTAAAATCCCTTCCAAACTTGGGTAACTTGCTAAATAAATGTTTGTTTCTTCAGGGAACAGCCCGCAGAAAGAAGAAGGTGGTTCACAAAACGGCAACAGCAGACGACAAAAAGCTCCAGGGCTCATTGAAGAAACTGGCAGTGAACAACATCGCAGGAATAGAAGAGGTGAGAAACACTTTTGATTTGATAAGGGACAGTGGTGATTCTTGAGGACTGTGGGTTACGTTTGACACATTGGTAGTTACTTCCTCTAAAGTGAAAATAAAGGAACCAAGTCCAACAAGTAGGGCTTTCGAGATAAGTAAGAACTAAAAAAATAACTGTGACTATTTTATCTGCTTGTGGCACATTTATTTTATCATTCAGATTAGAGCCCGACCGATATATCGGTTGGCCGATATTATCGGCCGAATTGAGCACCTGGAAGCATATCGGCTATCGGCCGATATACTTGCTGATAGGGGCCGATATTTCACGTGGGCATGTTATACCTCGTTATAAAGCTTAGACTCTCTACATTATGTTAATTTAATCCAATTTACAGACAGATAAATGTCCTAATATGTGGCTCCACATCAGTATTTATCTGCGGAGTCATTTGTCTGTGTGAGAGTCACGTGCGTTTGTTTACACCCGCAGACATAGATCCAAACACTGGGATTATTTTCTTTTTTCGGACAATCGATTTGAGTCTGGATTAAAAGGACATTTATTAGTGCAGACTTGTGATGTGAGGAGGAGCCTGTGTGAGCGGTGAGTGTTGGAAATATGTCGACTTTGAAGCAAGTTTTTTGTTAGCGGTTAGCTGCTGTAGCTCCCACACATAAATAGGCCGTTTTCTATTGGTCTATTGTAAAGTGACTATATTGGCCGTATATTTGTTACTGGACCTGCATTGATATGTAAATGAGCTGTGAATAGACGTGTGAATGATGAAATTTGCGCATATAATTAATTACCGCGGCACGCAGCATTTACGGCTAAAGGCTAATAGCGATTGTTTATTTACTCGCTAGCAGTGATGGGTCGTTCGCGAACGAAGCGGCTCTTAGATCCGGCTCTTTGAAGCGAACGACGGGAGCCTGATCCTTATTGGGAGCCGTGTTTTCAGACTCGTGGTAGTTTGACAGCAGCAGCGGCTAAAAACGAAACTTTCAAAAACTCTGCGTGTGCATAGTGTAAAAAAAAAAACTTGCAAAAATATATTCAGCATAAAATAAATAAACCAGGACTAATCTTGGGGTCGAGAGAGGGAGAGAGATAGAGACCGAGTCCCGACACTCAGTCCTGGTTAAATTGTGGTTTAGTTCTGTTTTGCACATAGTTTAGATCTGTTATAGTCCTGGTTTAGTGCTTTTTCAGTGCTGGTTCAGTTCTGGTTTAGTCCTGCTTTAGACCTGCCTTAGACCTGCCTTAGACCTGCTTTAGTCCTATGACATTTCATGTAAAGAGGCAGAATAACAATAAATGTTTCCTAAATAAACCCAGTTTAAAATCCACAAGAGCCAAACCTAAGTTTTTTTTTTAAATAATTCAAGATTTACAGTGAATTTTTACATCACTAAATATATCGGTGATTATATCGGCTATCGGCAGCTCCAACTATCATTATATCGGTATCATATCGGCCACAACAAAATCCATATCGGTCGGGCTCTAATTCAGATTTGATAAAGCTGATCACATACTAGAGGAATGATGATCTATTAGACAGTGTTTTATGCGCTGTGTTTGTTATTTTGACCCTTTGTTTGTTCCTTTAAGGTGAACATGATCAAAGATGACGGCACGGTGATCCATTTCAACAACCCCAAAGTGCAGGCGTCTCTGTCGGCAAACACCTTCGCCATCACGGGCCACGCTGAGACCAAGCAGCTCACCGAGATGCTCCCCGGCATCCTGAGCCAGCTCGGGGCCGACAGCCTGTCCAGCCTGCGCAAACTGGCAGAGAGCTTCCCACGGCAAGGTCAGGACATGCACCACGTTGTTTTAGTTTAACTCGTTGATTATATCTTATACTTGGATTTGCATCAGTTAATTAATGTCACACTGGCCACGTTTAGATGTTTTTAATTCCGAATGAACTGTTCTGAATTAAAATATTCTCCTTTGAGTTTCCTTGGAAATAATAATTCCAAATTGACGTTTACTTGGAAAACATGTTAAATTGGCTTTATTTAATTTCGCCCAACGTCTGGGGGTCTGGAAGAGTTCTGATTGGACAGGAACATGAACGTATTTGCGTCTATCAGAAGAAAACACGCACTTCAGCTGCTACCGGCTTTTTAGTCATCTCGGTTTGTCGTTACACCATGAACACAAACATGATATAAACTTTTTCCGCGGTCGTTCCGATGATAATGAAGCAGCAGCTGGTGTATTATATTATTGCACTTTACGTTTGTCAGCTGAGGAGGAGAAGGGAAGAGTTTTGGAAAAGGGAGGAAGAAGACAAACTGAGTCAGCCGCTGCTTTGCCTCAGTACACTCCCGCATCCTGCTTGCAAATCCAAAGGGCAGTGGATGAAAGTCTGAAGCGAGGACTGATGGAGCTGGCTCGTCTGTATTGTGTCAGAAGAGCGACCCAACGAACATGCGCTGAACAACCAGAATTATTTTTAAGAAGAATAAACGTTTACACGATCGAGGAATAAATTTATTTGGCTTGAAAATCAAAATAAACCACCCATGTACTTGGAAATTAAGTTTATTTCCGTGTTTACATGGTCTTTTTAAAGCGGAATTTTTATTCAGAATTAAATTATTTTTAATCGGAATTAAAGCTCATATGTAAACGTGACAATAAACTTCAGAACCATTCAGAATAACAGAAGACTGGAGATAAGGTTGCAACGATTACTCAGAATAACTGTGACAAGTGACGCAGTAAAATAATCTTATTTTGAAAATGTTACCTGGACTAAATAGACATATGCCAGATACACTTTATTACAAAGACAGTGGCATTATTAAAGAGTTGGTATAGAAAACTGTACACTACAGCTACAACTGCACTAGTTTTATTAGTGGGATACATGTTGATTGTGTTGTTATTGCACTCTGAAAGGGGAGTAACTTGGTATGAAAAATACGAAAGCAAAGCAAACAAAAAATACAAAAGCAAAACTTATAGAACGTTTTATTACATTGTTTATGGCAAATATTACATTTTCAAAACAGTACAAGGTAACTAAATTTGTATCCTGCTCTGAAAAGTTAGAAGATTTTTCAGATTAAAAGACTTGGCCCAACAAAAGTCAGTTGGCAGACGATAAAACAAAAACCTCCGCAACTCAACCGAGATTAAACTTCAAAAATCCCTGCGTCAGATTGTTTTTTCTGTTAAAGTTTTTGTTACATGTATCTTAAGGCCATCTGCATTTTTGCGCTCAAACTTGAAAATGAATACGGTTAAGTGATGACAGCAGCACATTTTTGACATACCAGCTCTGCTAATCTGAAGAATGGTGCACACAACAAGGCCACTGTAGTTTAGAACGGCTTTTCACAAGGCGTCTTAACATGTGAAAACCAGCACTGTAAAGCAAAACATAAATCTGTACCACTGCTTCTCAAACTGTGGTACGTGTTTGTTCAATTTAGAGTCACTTTTATAAATATATTATCCTCCTCGGGGTTATATTTTGCTTAGAAATACAGTAGCAATACTAAAAGCCCTGTACTAAATTTGTTTTGTCAGGTCCACTGTGTAAATTTAGAAAGGATTTTATTGTCCGATAATCAGGAAGTGTACTGTTAGCATGCTAGTTGTAATTAGCGGAGAGCTCTGAGTGCTTATAAACTCCTCGCAGTGAATAATTAGGATGCTCGGAGTGCGTTAGGTAAGAGACGAATAACTTGGGACCACTAGTTTTTTAAGACCGTATAAATCAGGTTCTGCACTTTAAAGGTTCTGGACAAAGGTTTTCTTAAGTGGTACTTGGTCTGAAAAGTTTGAGAACCACGGTCTACTCTCGCAGTCTCTAATGGGTCTGTAAATCTTTTTAAAAATGTACTAATAATGTTTTTTTGTGGTGTTTTTCAGCAATGGACATGAAGGCGGTGAAGGAACAGATCATAGAAGAGGATGAGGATGATGTACCAGGTATGGAAGTAATTTTGGTTTTAACTGGTGACTGTAAATTGCAGGTTTCCCACAGTCATGGAAATTAAAAATTTAATTTTCCAGACCTGGAAAAGGCATGAAATTTTAGTATCTCTTTCACACAGCTACAGCGTACAGTTCTGTTAAGTTATCATTAGGCTATTATGATTATTTCTGAATGTATGTGCCTTTTGTTTAAAAGAGATGACAATAAATGCACTGACAGTATTTTGAATGTTAAAAAACTATAATACCAAACCATAAGGTGAATGGAAAGGTTAACATTTCATATTTAGCCCTAAAAGTCTGATCAATTCTACACATGTAGGTGCTGTAAAGCCATGGAAAATTCACTTTAGGTCATGAAAAAGTCATGGAAAAGTTTTGAAATGGTGTCAGTGAAAAGAGTGGGAACCCTGAAAATGGCAACCAACCATCTCATGACCAAAGTAGCAAGTAACTTTATATCAGCACTAAAAATGTGAACAAAAATCTAAAGATTCAGTTGGCACAGCCTTTGTGTCCTTGCTGAAGATGCCAGAACCCAAGCCTCAACTCAAAAACACGGACTACAGGTCAAATCCAAGGGCCAAGGTCCTGACCAAGACTAGCAACAACAACACGGAGAGTTAACCTTAACCTTACTGCTGCATTGTGTCACTTTTCTGGTGGAGGCTCCATCAAATGCTTTTCTGCATGCAGATGTTATTGCTTTGTCTGGAATGTTTCACAGTGTGGCATTAAACCTTTCCATCTTCATATAAAAAATAGACAGCCATAGAAACAAGCAGGTGATGGACCCACAAAGTTACACAGTGTTCCTTTAAAGTCTTGGACATTAAAAAATCTAACCACAGTAGTAGTTTAAAAAGCCTTTAAAACTGTAAGGCAACTCATATTAATTACTGCATGTATTACAAGACATTTTTAATCACTTTTAATTTACGAGAACAATAATTTTAAGTAAGTTGTAAGTATGTACGTCGTTGTTTTGCTTTCCCCATTCTGAAGTCAAACTAATGTTGTTGTAGTGCTGTATGGACTGACAGCGGTGGCACTTGTGTGTTAAATGCATGACATTCCTGAGCTCTGTGGACAGGTCTGTGGAAGTGATCAGTCACTCAAAACACTAAACTGAGGGATTAAAACATACTGTGCCCTCCACTACGACTGTGACGCCTTTCACACTCACTGAACAAGCTGTGAGAAAAGCCCTGCTGCCACTGAAACCTTAGGAATGAAGTTGTTTCTAGTTCAACAATTATTAGAACAATCTGTGTGTGTGCTGGGTGTAGCGTTTTGAGAATTGTAATGACAAAGCAAAAATGGCTCACTGTCAACACATTTAAAGATACACCCACAAAAACGTAAACAGCTGGGTTCAAACATCTATTACTGGTTGGGTATTTAACCAAAAAGTTTCTTAATTTTTTGAGAGCCTTGATCAAACCATTGTGGTGAAGAGAGAGCTGAGCCAAAAGGCAAAGCTCTTGACTTACCGTCAGTCTTAGTTTCTACCCTCACCTATAGCCATGAACTTTGGGTATAGACCAAAAGGACGAGATTGCAGATAAAAGCGGCTAAAATTTGTTTCTGGGCGCTCCCTTACAGATAGGGTGAGGAATTCAGTCACACGGGCGGAGGTCAGGGTAGAGCTGCTGCTGCTCCATGTCGAGAGGGGCAGCTGAGGTGGCTCGGGCATCTGTTCCCGATGCCTCCTGGGCATTTCCCTCGGGAGGTGTTCCCTGCATGCTCCACCGGAGAGATTATGTCTCTCAGCTGGCCTGGGAACACCCTAGGTTCTCCCTGGAGGAGCTGGAGGAAGTGTCGGGGGTGAAGGAAGTCTGGGAGTCTCTGCTTAAAGTGGTTCCCCCATGACCCGGCCCTGGATAAGCAGAAGAAAATGGATAGACTGCTGATCACATATAATAATGACACTATTTGGTTTGTGTTTTTTTTTTTTTTCCCTCAGATCTTGTCGAGAACTTTGACGAGGCCTCCAAGAATGAAGCCAACTGATGTTCCCTTGTCAACCCTCTGATTTCGTCGCTCAGTCGGACTCACACTAAAGGCATTTTCTCCTACGGGGGGGGAAAAAAAAAACAAAACACCAACGGCAGCAGCAGTCCTTAAAGGTGCAGTGCACTTTCCTCTGGACATGACTCACTTTGGCCAAATCCCTTTTCATTTCTGCTGCTCCGTGGACACATCACACAGAGACTATATTTTATCATTATTAAAGGAAGGTCCAGTTTTGCTATTGCAGTTTTCAAAAGTTTGGATACTATTTTCTATTCTATTAAAAAATATAATGTAAGTGCTGACTCAAAATCTTTCAAATAAAACGAAAGCAAAGACTGAAATCTGGTCTAAACTAAGAACCGGGACTTGGAAACGATATGTAATGGTAGTCTACAAAAATTGAATTAAAATCTGAATTTCCCTGCTAAAAATTCCCAAATTGTGTCCAAACTTTTGACAGGTACTGCCTCTTCTATAAAGGAATGCATTGTTTCCGATATAATCTATATAAATGCCACAATAGTTAAAGTTACTGGACCATATATCCCGTGCTGCAGACCACTCCATGCATTTTAACATTACGAGATTACTACAAAATATGAAATGAAAAACTTGACAAATCCTGATGATATGGGTGAAATAAAGCATTTTGGGCTAAGAATTTTATGATTTTTTTTTCATCGGAACAAGTAATCTACCATCTACAGTATTGAAGTAACAGGCAAAGTCTTTTTACGTCACATATTTGTACTTGATGCTTGTTTATAAATAGAATAAACACACGTAAAGCGTCACAGTGGGTCTCTTCCTTGAATTCAATTATGTTATATACAAGAGATTTACAGTGTTAATAAGTAATTATAACTTTTTGTTGTCTTTTTTTTTAAAAATGTTTCTAGGTGTAGGCAACAAATAAAAAATCTTTGCAGTTTCCTATTAATAACTTGGTCACAAAAAAGCAATTTCAAGATTATTATTAAAGTGAAGTGATCTTTAGGCTCCGTAAAATGCTGAATTGTGGTTGGACAAATTGGAGTTGAAGCTGATTTTTTTTTTTTTTGGTGCAAAATTGACTTTAGAGCTTTTAATCATGTTATAGTCGTTTCCCTCATCATTTTTTCATCCAAAGTTGAGTTTGAAGTGATTTATGTTTGAGCAGTTTTTAATTGCGTATTTTCAAGACCCCATTTTGGCGATTAACTCTCGTTTTTACTGACACCAGCATACGCTCACTTCTCTGCACTTGCTTCAGGGATCCCACGGTCATGGAAATCCTGGGAAAGTCATGGAAATTTAAAATGGAATTTGGAAATGTCATGGAATTTTAACGTCTTTCACGCAACTACAGCTTTCTGTTAAGTTCTCATTAGGCTATTATGATTATTTCTGAACGTATTTGCCTTTTTGTTTAAAAGAGACGACAATAAATGCACTGACAGTATTTTGAATGTTAAAAAACTATAATACCAAACCATAAGGTGAGTGGAAAAGGTTAACATTTTATATTTAGCCCTAAAAATAGGCTCAATTTTACACATGTAGGTGCTGTAAAGTCATGGAAAATTCACTTTAGGTCATGGAAAAGTCATGGAAAAGTTTTGAAATTTTGTCAGTGAAAAAGAGTGGGAAACCTGTTTTTCACTACTTTCCAATTTTATTTTCTTAATCTATGATATTTGTAGGATTCGCAGCGTTACATAGTCATTACGACACAAATTTCAACAAATCTGCTGCTCGTTAGTGTAAGGGTTTAATGAGGATCGCACAGTGAACAGTGAGCTACAGACTTCTGTCAAATTTTAGAACCCTTTGTGGCCCACACGTTCAAAACTTTGCCCGCCCCTGGTTTATTTATCAGTATTGAAAATCAGTATCGATATCGTGGGCCGCTGTATCGATTATATATCGGCAAGAGTATTTTTTGGTTTATTTTACTAAATTAATTTATTACAGTGCCACAGTTTTGTTGTTTGCTTGGAAGAAAGAAACTAATGTGTGTAATTTCACATTTTCACCGTTCTGATGATTAGAATTGGCATGTTTTATATTAACTTTGCACAAGAAGCGGTCTAACAAAGACTTTTAGTATCACCGCTATCATTTTTTTATTGAACCATACTGAATCGATTTGAAATATTTATCTTATTGGATTGTATCAAATCGAAATCTCACTGTATCGAGATATGTATCGTATCGTGGCCTGTGTATCGAGGTATGTATTGTGTCGGCAACTTCTTTACGATACTCAGCCCTAGTGAGCCTACTTTGAGTATTTTTTGAATATAAAATATAAATTACTTCATATACTTTATGTCTTTTATATGTAGACTATTTAAGTGTGGAAAATAGTAAACAAAATACATTGAATGAAATGCTGTGTCCGAGCTTTTCACTGATAGTGCATGCATTTACTTTTTTTTTTTTTTTTTTTTTCCATGGCTTGTCAGTAAAAGTCACTCCAAATGTTTACATCATAGTCCGCGGTCTGATCACGTGCGCGTGTATGTGTCATCCTGCCTCCCCCGGTACTGCGCTGTCATTCACGGAGATGCCCGGGCCCCGGTGCAAGGTGACGGGAGGACGTGACTGCGGTACGTCGGGGGGTCGTGGGGGTCGTGCGCCGCCGTGACGGGACAGTAGTAGACCCACCCCTGCGCTCCTGGCCGCGCGCTCTCTCCAAAATGTCCCTGCGGCGGGGCTGGAGCGCGAGGCTGAATCATAGGACCGAGAGGCGTTCGCGGCAAACGGAAATGACTCCTACAAAATAAGAGCGGCGTGGAGAAAATAATGCTCTGTTTAAATGCAGTTTCAGTGAAAATGGGTTTAATTTGGTGAATCTCAATTTAACAGGGCCTTGAGGTTGAGGACGAAAGAGAAATAGAGAGAACAGACAGAAGAGGTAAAGAGAAGAGACAGATAGAGAGATGGAACAAATTAGAGATAGGAGAGGTACAAGAGATGCAAGAGATGAGAGGTAGAGATAAAGAGAGATAGAAGAGATAAGATGATAGGAGAAAGGAAGAGGAGAGAGATAGAGATACAAGAGATTAGAGAGAAGAGATAAGATAGAGGAGAGACAGATAAAGAGAAAACAGATTACAGAGACAGAAGAAACGGATGAGAAGACAGAAAAGAACGGAAACAGTAGAGATGAGACGGAAGAGAGGTACTGTAGAGAGATGGAAGAGATGGAAGAAATAGAGAGGTGGAAGTAAGGTTGGTCAATTAATCAAGTTAATACTACTGCAATTAACTTAATAATGCATTACAATTAATATATCTACACAATTACAATTACATATTTACACAAATGTAATTCAAATGTCCAGTGTGCAAAAAAAAAAAAGGGATTTTATTTTATGACCATATTGCCCAGCCCAGATGGAAGTGATGGAGAGAGAGAACGAGATGTAGACTTTAGACTTTGACTTAAACAAACTTTATTGATTGACAAAGTTAAATTATCCAGACACAGCAGCTCACACATCACAATATGTTATAATAATCAAGAGCAACAATGTAAACGTCAATAATACATTCCAAGTAAGTAGCAAAAATAGCAAGATGATGAAATAAAATACAGAAATATAGTAATACAAATATATCTGGGCTATATACAAGAGGTGGGTAAGAGAAACAGTGCAAGATTAAACAATGATTAACATGATACAGGCTTATCTATAAGGGTGAGTTGTTGTACAGTTGTATGGAGTATTGTACAATTGTTGTCCTGTATCTCTCACATGAGTGGAGCTGTAAGAGCCTGTATGAGAATGAGCTCCTCTGTCCCTCTTGTTCAGTGTCCTCTTGCCCTTAACTATGACAAATGTCTCCATCACACAGCTGATCACATGGCCTGCTTTATGGGTCAGTTTGTCAATCCATCCAGTGTCCCTTTTGCTGGTGCTGCTCTCCCAGCAGGCTACAGCCAAGTACAGGGTGCTCGACTGGCCACCACAGGAAGAAAATCTAAAGTAACTTGCTGCACACTCTGAATATGATAGATGTAATAAAAGTGATAGAGAGGCAGATAGAAGGCTCATATTGAGTGAAGGGTCATGAGGAGGTAGTTTGCAAGTTAACAGATACATGTTTTTTCGTTTTGCTCAGTAGAGATGGGCAATTCCAGGGCTGAAATCATACAAATGATTCTAATGATGAATTTTAAAAACACAGCAGAGCACTTCCTGTATTACCACTTGATGATATCACAAGGTGGAAAAGAGTGTTTTTAGTCTGAGAGAAGAACTCAGCCTGAATTTACAAAGTTAGTGTTTTAAATATGTGTGAATTAAGCAAAACACAACTCCATGTTACAGTGACCAGACTTCCCTGTTTACCCGGTACAATCCCAGTTTTGAGCCCTGTGTCCCCATCCCAGCAGATTTATCCAAAGTCAGTGATTTGTCCCAGTTTTATACAAGAAATGTCTCAGGTGTCCCTATTTTTGACCAATTTGATACCTGCCAACAGTAAAGAGATGCATAAATTGTTATTTGTTTAGGTAAAATAAAGAAAATTGGCTTAAAAATGACCGAAACACAAAGAAAATGTGACTATACTGACTCACAGGTTAGTCATGAATGGGCCGAGTGCGTAGCTATTTTCCTTAATTACACACTCATTTCACAATTTTATTATTCCAACCACCCCAACTCTGGACACCCTACTTCAGGTATGCTTTTGATGAGGAAACATTACAATAACATAGATCAGCAAACAGCTCCCTTTATATAATTGTTATTTATTTGTTGTATGACTAAAGAGAGGCATAAATTGTCATTTGTTTAGGTAAAATAAAGAAAATCGGCTTAAAAATGACCGAAACACAAAGAAAATGTGACTATACTGACTCACATGTTAGTCATGAATGGGCCGAGTGCGTAGCTATTTTCCTTAATTACACACTCGTTTCACAGTTTTATTATTACCAACCACCCCAACTCTGGACACCCTACTTCAGGTATGCTTTTGATGAGGATACATTATAATAAAATAGATCAGAAAACAGCTCCCTTTATATGATTGTTATTTATTTGTTGTATGACTAAAAAAAAATAATAATAAAATAAAATAAAATCCAAATACAACTTTTATTTAGAACCTGTTCACCGGAAACAGTCGTGCATACTTCCGCTCGCTTTCCCATTAGCTCCGGTGTGTTTCTGTGAGCGCTGGAACCCTCGGGGGTGGATCCTGAGTGCTGCTGCCGCTGTCTGTCGCACAACTACGGCACACTACAGCCTCGACTTTCCGCCGTGTCTGTGGCTCACCGGAGCTCCTTCCAACACCGCGACTCATCCAGAAACAACCCCCCCAAATGCGATCACTTACCACGGACACCAAGGTGGGCGCCTCTTGCAGGACTATGCGTGCAAGATGAGGAGTCTTTTGGTGAGTAATAAGCCAGTTTTAATGAGGATTTCACAGGTTGTTGCTCATCTAAACCAGTCAGCGCCATTGCTATGCTTGTCCGAACTATTCAGCGGGCATTGGTGGAGTTTGTACCCGGGGATAGTGCTTCTTAAACGCGGGGGAGAAATCGCGTCTTGGTTGGTGGCGTTACCCGAACATCCCCGACAATTACACAACACATTAACCTCATCGTTACCAATTCACCTTAACACAACACCAAACCTGACCACAGCTTTGTTACTTGTTTGAGAAGATTACAAAGCGCGGATAGTGTTGATTAAAAAGCTTGAAGCGTGCTCCGTTAGCTGGACCCTCCGTGCTACCGACTCGTCACAGAGGCAAGTGTCCGTCAAAGATTCAACTCGAGGCGGTCACTCTGCTCACGACCGCCCGCTGTATCACTCAAGCTAACCCGTGCGGACTTAGCTTTCACAACAACGCTACAACTATGCTTTCTGCGCTTACAAAACAATCCCCAGTCATAAAAATAAACACGAAAAGCGATATTTGTAGTTTGGGGTGCGTTTCTGGCCTTACGTGCTATTTTGCGTGCGTTTTAATGCAGCTAGCAGCTTAAAGCTAATGCAACTACCCAAGTTTTGAAGCGAAATTGTCCAACTCTTTCACTGTCTATCCCACTTTTTTGCTTACTTCATTTAATAACACAGACTCATAAACCCAGAGCATAATGTTTACTGTCTGGGTAGAGAGTGTTTTGGTCCGTGTCAGTCATGGTAGTAAATTATTACATAACCAAAAGCTAATGAACACCTATCTGATCCCCTAAGTGTCTATGGTGGACTTGTTGATGTCTATTACGCTGTATTTACCACATTATTTTTGTTTTTTTGGCAGACGCTTGGTCAAAATGTGGAGGTGGATTCCTGGACAAGTGGGCCTTCTACACACAGTTCCTCCCTGAGTCTGTTCACCATTGAGAAAAACAGGTAAGGTTACACGTTTTCCTCATATATTACTTAAACGCACTGTATTATGCATTTTTTTAGCTGTATTATAATGATGTATCCTCGTCAAAAACATACCTGGAGTTGTTTAGGACGCACATCCTGCATATTTAGGCTGAGTTCCTCTCCCACACCTAAATATACTCCTTCTGAAGTCATTGTTTTTAAACTCCATACATCGTCACTAGAATCGTTTGGATAATTTGCAGCTCTGGAACTGCCTAACTTTCAACTTTGTTTTAGCTTTGTTGAATTGTCTTCGCTTCTCGGTGCAGCAGAAGGGATAGACTTTCTTTTAGTAATCTCAACTGTACAAAGTATTTTTAGAAATGGCAACAATTTATGGTTATTCTAGTGTACTGCATTCTGTAGCAGTTAATTTTAGGCTATAAAGAGTTAGTAACTTTCAAGCTGCCACTTAATTGCATCATCACAAGGTGGAACTGAGCATTTTGAGCTTTGGAGATGGAGACGGTCTAATAATACAAGATTACTCAAACATGTGTGAATGAAACAAAACACAACTTCGGGTATGTTTTTGATGAGGTAACAGCATTCCAACCTGACTAAAAGCTCACAAGAGTCCATTTTGTGTAATATAGGATCTTTAACTGTGGACTATTCAACAAGTATCATGCTGTTACATAATAAAATAAGTTATTACAACTGAAACTTAAGATAAATTGTGGTTTGAATAAGCGATACACGCAGAGAAAAGAAGTGCAGCCTAGTTCAGTACAAGTCTTAAATGATGATTTTTAAATCTATTTAAAATAAGATTAGAAACGTTTTAAAAACAAGATTCAGAATTATTTTAAATTAAACCAAGGGGAAAAGTTGTGGAATCAATCTAGACCAAAGCAGGACTCAGGCAGGACTGTACAAGGATGGAACTGGAATGGACCCAGGGCTAAATGAGGACTAAACATGGACTGAACACGGACTGAACACGGCCTGTACACGGCCTGTACACGGCCTGTACACGGCCTGTACACGGCCTATACACGGCCTATACACGGCCTATACACGGACTATACACGGACTATACACGGATTAAACCAGGATTAAACCAGGACCAAATCAGGGCTTGAAGCAGGACTTGCAGCAGGACTTGAAGTACCACTATACCCCCACCAGAGTCACTCCTCTACATTACTGTCGAGCCTAATGCAGTGTGTAACCTCTTTAATTTACTTGTCTGGACTACTCGGCATCTTTCCAGCAGACGCAGACTTCACTATTGTTGCTGTCAATTGGAAAAGCTTAAAGGTGAAATATGATACGGCTTTAAAACCTATAGTTGTGGCTGTGGTCAGATTCTCCACTAAAGAAAGTGTGCTGAAACGCCGTGAGGGTTAACTGAAGAGACGGATACAAGGCACTGCTTTGGACTTGAAATGTGTCTGGTACTACAACAGGATTTGACCAGGGCAAGACTAGAACTAGACCAGGACCTAAAGATTTAAACCATGATTTAACTTGGACTAGAGTTTGTACTGGAGCAGGACTAAAGTATTGCTGCAAGACCAGGACTAGACCGGGGCTATGGATAATGTTTCAATGAAATACTTGCTCTAGTCAGGACTTAACTGTATTTAAAAAGTATTTTAACCTGGGACTAAATCCCAGATTAAACCCAGGACTAAAACAAAACCACACTAAATGGGGACGTAAAAACCGGGACGCAAAATCCCGGGTCTTGAAACCCCGGGACTTGAAACCCCGGGACTTGAAACCCCGGGACTTGAAACCCCGGGACTTGAAACCCCGGGACTTGAAACCCCAAGACTTTGAAACCCCAAGACTTGAAACCCCAAGACTTGAAACCCCAAGACTTGAAACCCCAAGACTTGAAACCCCAAGACTTGAAACCCCAAGACTTGAAACCCCAAGACTTGAAACCCCAAGACTTGAAACCCCAAGACTTGAAACCCCAAGACTTGAAACCCCAAGACTTGAAACCCCAAGACTTGAAATCAAAACCGGACTAAAACTGGGACTAACACCAGAACCAGGACTAAAAACCAGGACTAAAAACCAGGACTAAAAACCAGGACTAAAAACCAGGACTAAAAACCAGGACTAAAAAACCAAGTCAAGCCACAGTTGGTACCTGTAGCTGGTTCGTAAATGCTTTGAGTCTTCATTGAGTAGACAGATACACAACTCTGATTCCTTTTAATAGCTCAGACTTTGAAGATGGAGGTTATTGTACTATTACAAGTGACTCCCTGATGAAACGTGCCTTTTCATGGCGTTTTTGTCCTCGAGTTTAAACACAGATCAAAACAAGAGAGAGGAACAGAGGCGGAGAAAGCATTTTGACGTGAAGCGCTTTGAAACCGAGCCAGATCTCCAGCTCTTTGCAAGCTTTTTTTCTGTATCTTTCACTGTCTTTTTGTCAACTCACAATCGGTTAAATCAATGTGGCTTTTGTTGTAAGTATTGCTGTATGGGTTGTGGCTGTTTTTTTTTTGCAGTTTAAAAAAATTGAAAGGTTGAACAAGTAAAATTCAAAGTATAAATTGCTTTCAAATGGCTGAAATGTTGTTATCGCAATGATTTATGAATCAGGATTTGCAAATAACATAATTCTGCTTTCTCTGATCTCATTTCTCAGTTTTATTTATTTGCGACGTGGTTAATAATTATTTGGTCTTTTGTTTACAAATCTTAATCTGTGGTGTAATCGTAACCAACTGTGCGCTCTTATCGTTATTTATACAGGGAGAGCCAAATGAAAGTACCAGACGCTCTTTCTCGCCTTGTTTATACAAGACAAAACAATAATAACAACTGCTTAGGTCAATTTGAAGCATTAAAAACAGGTGCAGGTGTGACTATAAATGTCTTATCACCAGATTATTCAAATACAGTAGTGTCTTTAAAGCATATGAAACCATGAGTCTGTTTTAAAAAGACAAATCTGACGCACTGAAGACCATCTGGAAATGACACATGGGCACACGCAGACTAGGGCTAGGTATCATTACGAAGTTGCAGATACTTCGATAAAGTGAACTTATGATTCAATACGATATATTTCAAATCAATTCGATACGGTTCAATAAAAAATAAAGGCTAAATCATGGCTGTGATCTTAAAAGTCTTTGTTAAACCACTTCTTGTGCAAAGTTCATATGAAACACAAACATTTTAATCATCAACACAAGTGAAAATGTCAAATGTGTCGCATGACCAAGTTTCCTTCCTCTCAACAAGCAACAAAACTGTAGTCCTGTAACAAAATAATTTAGGAAAATGTACCAAAAAAATACTCTCGGTGAAATATCGATACAGCAGCCAGCGATATCGATACTGTATCATCACATTAAACGGTACGATATTTCGATATTTTTGCACACCCCTAACGCAGGCTGTGCAGCGCAGAAAAAATATCAATATCAAATATAACAATGGAATATAAAAAAAAAATATATATATATATATATATATAATTAATTAAATAAATAAATAACAACTGCTACTACTACTACTACTACTACTACTACTACTACTACTACTACTACTACTACTACTACTACTATTACTACTACTACTACTCTACTATTACTACTACTACTACTACTACTATTACTACTACTACTACTACTACTATTACTACTACTACTACTACTACTACTACTATTACTATTACTACTACTACTACTACTACTACTACTACTACTACTACTACTCCACCTCCTCCTCTTCCCACTACTACTACTACTACTACTACTACTTTACTATTACCACTTCTCCTACCCCTACTACTACTTTACTATTACCACTACTGCTACTACTACTACTACTACTACTACTGCTACTACTACTACTACTACTACTACTACTACTACTACTAGTGCTACTACTACTAGTGCTACTACTACTAGTGCTACTGGTACTACTACTAATCATAATAATCATATATTATATATATAATACATAAATAAATAAATTTATCTATCAATATTAGTCGATATATATATATATATAGTCGATAACATTTTTGAAACCAGTATATCCTGTACTGAAACGCAACCCTATTGCGTAGAGAAAACTATTTGCAATTTGGTAATTACATTATCTGTTTTTGTTTAATGCTGTGGGTTACCCTTGTTCAGTTTTGATTAAGGGTAAAACAATAAACAAAATAGGTCTCCAGGCTATTGTGTCACGATATCGAATCCCAAGCTCCTTCTTAAATGCTTTGTTTTGTTGCATCAGTTAAAGATCTCAGTTAAATTATGCTCTTTTCTGATCTAATTATTAGTTATAATATTGTTTTCTCATCACAAACAGACCTGAGGTTGTGTTTTGTTTTGTAATAATAATGCGTTAAACATTTACACACGTTTAACACACAAACTCTGCATATTTAGGCTGAGTTCTTCATTCTCACATGACTCCACCTTGTGATGTCATGTGGTAATACAGGAAATGCTCCACCGTATTTTTAAACTCCATGCACTTTCACTAGAATCATTTGAGTCATTTCAGCTCTCGAATGGTCCATTTCTCCTGAACAAAAGATAAAAGGTAGCTGTTAACTTAAAAGCTTAATGGCATCACAAGGTGGAACAGAGTGTTTCGAGCTTTCCTTTTAATGGAAACCGTAGTACTTTATGCAATTCTGTTAAAGTAAAATATCACACCATGAGCTGCACATCGTGACTGCATCATAACGTGATCATTTGATATTTGTGTTTTTTATTTGATTTCAGTGAGACCAAATAAAATGAGGTTAATCTTACCTTTTTGTCATGTGTCCCAAGTGTTCCAGTATTTATTCATTAGTAATGCCTTAATAACCTGACCACAGCAAGACTCCTCCCAGTCTGTTCCAGTGTTAGGGCGTCAGCAGCGGTTACATAATAATGAAGTGTCACTTAGTCACGCAGAGCATAAATGTTTTTAAGTGAGTTTAGTCCAGAGGAAGCCGGCATTCTTGGTCCTTCCTGTGTCCGAGTGTAACACAGGAC